TGCAGATACTATTTCTACTACTACTACTATCTTTTCCCTGTTACATCCTGTTGTGTGATTTCACTGTTTTACTATTACTTTATCCCTTGATTTCGATTTAATTATGTTACTTCATTACCTGATTTACAAAATCTGATATTACCTGATATCCAAAAGTGACTATTTTAGATAAGAAATCAGGAAGTAGTTAGTTAGTCTCGGGTCTATTTTGACCCTATTCTATGGGTCTATTTCGACCCTGTTCTAGGGGTCTGTTTTGACCCTGTTCTGCGGGTCTATTCTATTCTACGGGTCTGTGTTGACCCTTTTCTACGGGTCTATTCTATTCTACGGGTCTGTTTTGACCCTGTTCTACGGGTCTGTTTTGACCCTGTTCTGCGGGTCTATTCTATTCTACGGGTCTGTTCTGACCCTTTACAACGGGTCTCTTTTGACCCTGTTCTGCGGGTCTGTTCTATTCTACGGGTCTGTTCTGACCCTCTACAACGGGTCTCTTTTGACCCTGTTCTGCGGGTCTATTCTATTCTACGGGTCTGTGTTGACCCTTTACAACGGGTCTGTTTTGACCCTGTTCTTTAAACTCGAGGAAAATGGAGAGTATGTCTCCATGCAAGGAGATTATAGCTGCAATGGAGGCTACAGGAAGAAGAGATAGGTATAGTGACAGCAGCACAAGTTTGGAAGATGATTCATCTGCTCCAGCATCAATTCAAATATAATATGTAAACATAAAATCAAAATAGATGAAAGAAAAGGTACTACCAATTTTGTTATAGTATCAGGTTTACTTAAAAATAAAGTATAAAATAAAAATAGGGGAAACTGTATAGTAAAATATATAAAATAAAGTACAATAAAATGAAAAATAAGAAAGACTAGAAGAAATATAAAATAAAATAAAATAAGATAAACTAAACTAGACTAGACTGTAGAGTAATGTTTTAGCTTATCCCGTATCTTTGGTGTCATAGCCCATATCTTTAGTGACAAGTACATGTAAATGTAGAAAAACCCCTAAGCTGTAGGGTATAACTGTAAAAATATGGAGTGTAGAGTATATGCTATTATTATATTATATAATATTTTATTAGTGAGAAAGACGAAAGCGTTTCCATATCAGTAAACTGTATAACGGTAAAGAATCCTGACCTGAATCATAATGAGAGAAAATAACTAAAATAACTGTGACTTGTATTGTATCGTAGTCTATTTGTTACATTTATATACGGCCGATTGCACATACTATTACTACTACTACTACTATCTTTTCCCTGTTACATCCTGTTGTGTGATTTCACTGTTTTACTATTACTTTATCCCTTGATTTCGATTTAATTATGTTACTTCATTACCTGATTTACAAAATCTGATATTACCTGATATCCAAAAGTGACTATTTTAGATAAGAAATCAGGAAGTAGTTAGTTAGTCTCGGGTCTATTTTGACCCTATTCTATGGGTCTATTTCGACCCTGTTCTAGGGGTCTGTTTTGACCCTGTTCTGCGGGTCTATTCTATTCTACGGGTCTGTGTTGACCCTTTTCTACGGGTCTATTCTATTCTACGGGTCTGTTTTGACCCTGTTCTACGGGTCTGTTTTGACCCTGTTCTGCGGGTCCATTCTATTCTACGGGTCTGTTTTGACCCTTTTCTACGGGTCTCTTTTGACCCTGTTCTGCGGGTCTGTTCTATTCTACGGGTCTGTTCTGACCCTTTACAACGGGTCTCTTTTGACCCTGTTCTGCGGGTCTATTCTATTCTACGGGTCTGTTCTGACCCTTTACAACGGGTCTCTTTTGACCCTGTTCTGCGGGTCTGTTCTATTCTACGGGTCTGTTCTGACGCTTTACAACGGGTCTCTTTTGACCCTGTTCGGCGGGTCTATTCTATTCTACGGGTCTGTTCTGACCCTTTACAACGGGTCTCTTTTGACCCTGTTCTGCGGGTCTATTCTATTCTACGGGTCTGTGTTGACCCTTTACAACGGGTCTCTTTTGACCCTGTTCTGCGGGTCTATTCTATTCTACGGGTTTGTTCTGACCCTTTACAACGGGTCTCTTTTGACCCTGTTCTGCGGGTCTATTCTATTCTACGGGTCTGTTTTGACCCTTTTCTACGGGTCTGTTTTGACCCTGTTCTTTAAACTCGAGGAAAATGGAGTGTATGGCTCCATGCAAGGAGATTATAGCTGCAATGGAGGCTACAGGAAGAAGAGATAGGTATAGTGACAGCAGCACAAGTTTGGAAGATGATTCATCTGCTCCAGCATCAATTCAAATATAATATGTAAACATAAAATCAAAATAGATGAAAGAAAAGGTACTACCAATTTTGTTATAGTATCAGGTTTACTTAAAAATAAAGTATAAAATAAAAATAGGGGAAACTGTATAGTAAAATATATAAAATAAAGTACAATAAAATGAAAATAAGAAAGACTAGAAGAAATATAAAATAAAATAAAATAAGATAAACTAAACTAGACTAGACTGTAGAGTAATGTTTTAGCTTATCCCGTATCTTTGGTGTCATAGCCCATATCTTTAGTGACAAGTACATGTAAATGTAGAAAAACCCCTAAGCTGTAGGGTATAACTGTAAAAATATGGAGTGTAGAGTATATGCTATTATTATATTATATAATATTTTATTAGTGAGAAAGACGAAAGCGTTTCCATATCAGTAAACTGTATAACGGTAAAGAATCCTGGCCTGAATCATAATGAGAGAAAATAACTAAAATAACTGTGACTTGTATTGTATCGTAGTCTATTTGTTACATTTATATACGGCCGATTGCAGATACTATTACTACTACTACTACTATCTTTTCCCTGTTACATCCTGTTGTGTGATTTTACTGTTTTACTATTATTTTATCCCTTAATTTCGATTTAATTATGTTACTTCATTACCTGATTTACAAAATCTGATATTACCTGATATCCAAAAGTGACTATTTTAGATAAGAAATCAGGAAGTAGTTAGTTAGTCTCGGGTCAATTTTGACCCTACTCTACGGGTCTGTTTTGACCCTTTACAACGGGTCTATTTTGACCCTGTTCTGCGGGTCTATTCTATTCTACGGGTCTGTTCTGACCCTTTACAACGGGTCTCTTTTGACCCTGTTCTGCGGGTCTATTCTATTCTACGGGTCTGTTTTGACCCTTTACAACGGGTCTATTTTGACCCTGTTCTGCGGGTCTATTCTATTCTACGGGTCTGTTTTGACCCTTTACAACGGGTCTATTTTGACCCTGTTCTGCGGGTCTATTCTATTCTACGGGTCTGTTCTGACCCTTCACAACGGGTCTCTTTTGACCCTGTTCTACGGGTCTCTTTTGACCCCGTTCTACGGGTCTGTTTCGACCCTGCTCTGCGGGTCTGCTTGGACCCTGTTCTACGGGTCTGCTTTGACCCTGTTCTACGGGTCTGTTTTGACCGTGTTCTGCGGGTCTGTTTTGACCCTCTTCTACGGGTCTATTTCGACCCTGCTCTGCGGGTCTGCTTGGACCCTGTTCTACGGGTCTGCTTTGACCCTGTTCTACGGGTCTGTTTTGACCCTGTTCTGCGGGTTTGCTTCGACCCTGTTCTGCGGGTCTGTTTTGACCCTGTTCTGCGGGTCTATTTTGACCCTAAAGCCGTTTTTTTACAAGTTGCAAAATCATTTTTGCCAATCAACGCCTAAAATATTACACTTTTACCGGAACGAAATAAAAATAAAATATAACCGTAAATCTAGTAACAGAAAGGTATTAACCAAATTTTCACCTTTCGTGGTATTTACTTCTTCTTTTATATCGTCCAAATCCTCTTGTCCTTCGATAGCTTTTCGACCTTCCTGTTCAGTTATATCTTCACCTTCTATTAACTCGTCCAGTCGGCGTTCCGCTAAAAACGATTCGACGTTCCGATTTTTCTTCTCACATTTTTAATAACCCAATTTGCTTCTCCACTTCGGCTTTCTGTTACATACGAGGATACACGTAACGAGCATCAATATTTTCTTATGATATTAAAAACTATGAAAATTACAATATTCCTACCTTCCTGATTAAACTGATATCTTCTTCTCTTCATTTTCCATATACATCTTTCAATTTCTCAAATTTCTCTTCCAAAACTTTATACTTTTCTACAAAAACATAACAGACAAGTTATATTAGATTGCGATATAAATGTACGCGTATGTATGCACCAACCTTCGCTTTCATCAACTTTCGCCATCGTGTCTGCTTTTTGTTTAAGAGAGTCCTCATTTACCTGTTTTTCTTCTTCAATTTCATTGCGCTAAAAAATAAAAACAACTTGTTACATAGACTGTTTTTCTAAACCATAATGTTAATGATTAATTAAAACGTTTTTACCTTAATAAGCAAACCCGACTCAAGTTGCATGACACGACTCTGAAGCTCTTCCGTGATTCGTTGATGATCCATCGGTAGACGATGCGATTCTTGTCTCTGGCGACTATTTTCTTGCTGTAAATGATCGATGAGACTTTCTCTAAAATACATATGTTCGGAACAATTAGCGATCATTTTTGTAATTAGTATTAACATTTTCTATTCGCACTTTATGATTCTTCTGGTGGCGATACCACCCTCGGCGTCGCGTACGTCCGTAACTCGGATTGCATCAAAAAGTTTGGTGGATTCTTCGATAAACATTATACATGGGGTAAATCGATAAAGAAATTTAACAGCTTTTATGAGCATTTTATGGTAGAAACCATTCCTTCGAATCACTAAATTCTGATTAAAAATAAATTTAATTCCAAAAATCTTACCTCGGCTTACACGGGTATTCTTTAACGATGCACTAACTGAAATCATTAACGTAACAGTGATACATGAATACATAAAAACACATAATATTATTGGACCGTCTCTCAGGCTTGCTCGGGGAAGACCTCCTGAATCTGATTCTCTCTTGTCTCTCGAGGCCCCAGGGAGTACCTAGGGACAAATTCCCTATAGCATCCCGGCCTCTCTCAACGGTTGGCATCGGCGCCAATCGCGCCATCTGCGGGAGTAACTAGGAAGTTGTTACTCATGCTCCCTAGAATATTAATAACGCAATTAATCGGCAAGGCTCGCTCGATCGCTTCTGAGAGCGCGACTCCTCTGAACTCCTCTGGTGGCGAGCATGGGAGGCGACGCCACAGGCCTAACTCCCCCGGACCTAAATCCCCTAGCCTGAGGTGTTGGGTCTTGGGGGGTTAGATTTTTGGGGGTTACAATTTGTAAAAAAACAAAAGCCACCGTTCTTTATCGAAAATTACTGACATATTATGAGATTGGTACAGGAAAGAATTAAATGCCATGTATTTGCTCAAAGAAACTAGGAATATGTGTGCAGTGTCAAGAGGGGTTGTTTTGACAGGAATAGGACTGTTTCTGGACAATTTTGTGCCTTTGGCGTTAATTGTGAAGCATTTATAAGTGATCTAAATTACAGAGTACTCGATTGTTGCATTAATAAATAAATTAAAATTAGTTTTCGATCTAAATTAATAGGGGCGCCGTCTAGGGTGCAAAGGGGTGAATTGTTTCTCGACAAACTTGGGCGTTTTGTGGTAGATGTCGTCTTGACACATGTATATAGATATACAGTGAACTATGTAGTTTTTATATTAATAATAATAAGGTTTAGACACTGTTTATTAATTAAACTGACGCACGTACAGTCTGCAGTTAATGTGTATTATGTTATTATGTATTATGTTATATTCTTATGATATTAAAAACTATGAAAATTACAATTTTCCTACCTCAACCGTGATTTCTTGCTGTAAATGATCGATGAGACTTTCTCTAAAATACATATGTTCGGAACAATTAGCGATCATTTTTGTAATTAGTATTAACAGTTTCGCGTAGAATCTAATTGATCGCCTGGTAATGAACTCGTATCGGAAGTATCGATCGATGAGACTATCCACGACCGTATCGGTATCTAAAGATTCTTCTGGTGGCGATATCACCCTCGGCGTCACGTTAACAGCTTTTATGAGCATTTTATGGTAGAAACCATTCCCTATAGCATCCCATGTGGCGAGCATGGATGGCGACGCCAACGCCAAAGCCTAACTCTAAGCTAACCTAACTTCCCCGGAGTTCAGATGCTTTTAAAACATCCTTCCGTCTTCGATATACTCAATTCTGTACGATTCTGTACGATCTAACTACGTAGATTGTGTTATTCTCCGGTTCGCATGATCGAAAGGTACGGTTCAGGCAACTATACAATTAGTACTTTATTACACCCTTATTAAATGTAAACAATAAATATATATATATATATATATATATATATATGTGTACATTTGCTAGTAAATGTTGTAACGCATTTTTGTTAACATTTATATGATACTAAATGCTGGTTGTGTTGAAAACTTGTGTCTAAATTACATATCTACATACATATATAGAAATATGTAAAATAATGACTGATATTCCTGGCACCTGTCAACTGATCATTTGACATTGCACAGTATGTTTCGTTAAGTAACGAAAACAACCCACGAAATGTTGACACTAGGAATGTATCAATTAACTCATCCCGAAGTACTGTCCGAAGCTGAGCTTCGTGAAATGTTGGAAACTGTAAGTGAACGAGGTTATGTTTAGTCACTATTATTTTGTCCAGTGAACTATTTTTTTATGAATGAAACTGTTACATATTTACTTTCGAATATGCTCGATCAAGTATCAAGTTTTTTGTTACATGTGTAATTAAATATTGGATATCCGTGAGATATAAAATTTACTTAATAACTATTACAACACCTTTTGTTGATATACGCATTAAAAATACCGATCACTGTCATTTATTATGATTTTTCGCATATATATTTTCTTAATCTGTTTACAGACTTGTATTGATTTCAATACTTATAAACATTTATCGAGATCCAAATTAATAGAATTATATAAACGAGTAGCAATGCCACTACCTCGAAGACAGAATGAAGGAAAATCCCAAAATTCAGATGCAAACAAAAATAATGAAGAAAAAAGCCTGGTTAATGAATTGCATACAAATTCAGTTTCTTCGTAAGTACAAATATTCTCAAGTTACAATGTTGCTCGTGGTCGTTGCGTATGGCACAACACGGGTTTATGATATGTCGATCGCTATTGAGGCAAGGAATAGCTCCAAGGATTTCAAGTCCTGTGTGGAGTTTGGAGGCTCCTTAACGACCGTATCCTAATTTAGCAAGTAACAATGCCTTGAAGGCCTGATCCTCAAAAAATAGCGGATAAGTCATGTGTCCGTATCGTAAACCCGCTCTCTATACAGACCCTGAACACCGAACATTATTAACCTTTAATATAAAAAACAAATATAAAAGCAGTTACATTTTTTATAGAATTAATGTCAATAATACAAGTAAAAATATAAGTGAAACGACTCAGCCTTTTTATGTGACAAAATCAAAGTCTCCGGTAAACGACCATAAATATATATCTAAAAAATCATATTTATGTAACTCGAATGACATTAAAGGCCACGATAATACTGATAAGCGTGTCAACGATGAGAAGCATGAAGTATGTATTTTTAATATGTATGTATATAGCATTAAAAATTATAGAATTATAAGTAAATTCAAATGATTTATCGATATAAATTACATTAACAATCGACTCATTTATAAAAGCATTACTAAAAAAACTTGCGACTGTTTAAGAATTAATTAATTTAAACACTATTATGTATTGTAGGAAGCTCCGCTAAGAAAAAGGCAAAAAATTACATGGCCCTAATAGTATTACGATATCAAATGTTTAAGGTAGGTAAAAATTATTCTCTTGGATTTACTATGAAGCGGACACAAATTTTCATCAACTTTTTCTATGTAATGATATGTAAAGTAAATTATACGAATGGGAAAATTGTAATTTAGTAATAATTTCCATCGAGTGAAATGTATTTTATTGGCTAACAAATAACTAACAAGTTTTACTTATCATCGGTGTCAATAAGCGTGTTTCTAGTATTATACATATAGAATCAAAGCTGCAGAAATAATTTTATATGTTTGAATGTAAGTTGTTACTTTTAATTGATTATCCGAAAATGTATTACTTGGAAGAAATATTTTATCTATATTTGCTAGTTCTATTTTAACCATAATATTGTATTTATCGATCAATGAAACAGCAATTTTTTATAAACATATTGGTAGAGAAGAATTGAATTATGTATAAATCTTTTCAGGACGGAATAAAAAGTGAAAGAAAATAAATTAGAATGAACTTTTAATTATTCAACCTACTGATGTTTCCAAAATGATATTACGCTCCGAGACCTCCAAGTAGGCGGGCTTCAGGATGTCCATGGATCTCCACTAAGCTTTCTTTCTTCTCCTCGTTACTACTACAACAGAACACTTACAAGTTATAGTTAGAGTTGAAATTTTTAATTTTAAACCGAAATACAAGCATTCTTAAATGAATGTTCGGTCTCGGCTGGTTTCGATTAGTATTCGTCGGGCTTCGTGCTCACATGACGGAAACGTTACACTTACAACTGGGCCTAAAACTCCATTGAATGATGCAACAGTGAAAGCAATGGCGAGATGGAACAATTATCGACCGTTTTCATCTCTACAGATATACAAAATACATTATTTATACAGATGTATAAATAAAATTGTAATTGTATAATTTCAGGGGGATTTCTACTTAGACGTATATTTTATAGGGCATCTGTATAGAATTATACACTCGAAATTGTTGTCTGCCTGCCCACGCTTTTCGTCGAAAGCTATTCTTTCGATGCACACGTGTCAGAGAATTGAAAACGAGAGCGAAACTTTTGCCTCGGTAACGAACGCGTGTCACGTACGTACACGACTTCGAAACTCTTTACAATGCATCGACACACACGACAAACGACCAACCTCCTATGGATCCTATAAATACCTGTGTCACTGGAACTCGAACAATCAGTTCAATTCTTCACTCCTGTCCGACCGCAAGGTTACCTTAAACACAATCGTCATGGTTATGAAGGTGAGAATGTAATTCGGTCGTTTGTTTAGTTATTGAGTTTCGCACGATCTCACATATGTATATCTAAACTAATTTTTTTTATATACAGAATATTCTATAATATATTATATTATATTATATAAGATTGTTGTCTTTCGAGATCGCAGATCATTCGTATCAATATCACGTTAATTATTTTCGTCTCGAAAAGAATTTGTCCATCCCTGCTCCAGATCACAGTACCTTCTCAAGTACTTACGTAAAATGTTAAACCAAGTCTTGACTGCGTTAAACGATTGATGATGTTATTATTTGGTAACGTTGCAGATAGTAGTAATCGTGGTAGCGATTGGAGTATTTGCGACGTGCAGAGGTTCCGCGATACCCGTGGCAAACCTCGCACCTGTACACGCAGCTCTGGATTACGATCCCCATCCGCAATACACGTACGCGTACGATGTACAGGATAGCCTAACCGGGGATTCGAAAAGCCAACACGAAAGCAGAAACGGCGACGTTGTTAGCGGTAGCTACAGCTTTATCGAAGCTGATGGCACCAGGAGGATCGTCGAGTATACGGCAGATCCTGTAAATGGATTCAATGCCGTTGTTCACAGGGAACCAGTAGCAGTTATCAAACCCGCCCTTAAAGTTGCTCCTGTATTTGCTCATCTTTAAGCAATTCTTAAACTACGCTCACGACTACCGTTACCCTCGCTATTCCACCGTCTCGCCGCAAAAATATGCAAGTTGCCGTTATGAAAAAATAATATTCGTTCCTGCCTGATGTGGTTGTTGACGAGTTAGAAAACTGCCCTTGGGAGTCCATTCAAAATGGATCCGACTGTACAGTCGTCGTCGTCGTTCATTTTTATATTCATTCTGTATTTATATTTGTGACATTATGTTGTTTGCCGATAGCAAGATAAGGATATGATCATCCTGGTCCCTGGAAGATATTTCATCTTCACCTATTCTACTGTTCCGATGATAAAGAAAGACGTAATTCATATAATTACAACGGTTCTTGATTTTCTATGAGTTTTTAAGTAATAGTAAATTGAATAGTAATAACAATTGAATAAGATACCGATAGTATTCGATTATAATTGGAAAGAAAATGTATTTGCCTTTGTATACTCGACTAGTCATCTCATAATGTACATATTGTAATGATTTTATAATTAAACGTTTATATTAAAGTGTTTTGTAAGATAAATGTATTTACCATATATCTCCACTCCCTTTCATTCTATTCTTCTTTAAGATTTGAAAAATATTATTTACTTCGCATTAAATATTATCTCGTTTTGAAGAGGATCGTGCCTATGTTATTTCCCAGAATAAAAATTAGAATATCATTCGAAAACCAAATGGAATTTTTAGCAGACAGCAGTCGGTCATGAAAATGAAAACGAAAACAAACAACTCTTGTGCAGAATTATTCCCATAATTAACCTCTTCCCGTGCCATTTACCTCGACGAAATCCGGGCCGAAACTATAGGTGCTAACGCGCGGTAAACAGATCAGACTGATACTAAATTGTTTTGCAACAGAGGTTATAAGAATCGTGACCGACTCTTGTGGCGTACCGATAGGAACTAAAACTCAATCTCAATATTCTCAATCACGATCGACACGATCGTAATTTGCTGTCCGCGAGCCTGGCTCGTGATGTTTACATTTGCCCCGACTTTCTGTTCGCGATTGTATTCATGTTTGGGCCAAAATCTTCATCACGAGTCGGACTCGTTAAGGCACGGGAAGGGGTTAACGTTATATAGAAGTTATGTTTCGAACGAAAGAAAACTAATAACCGTAAATGTAGAAATGTAACAATTTCAAACCAGCCGTGCTAAGGTCACTATTAAATTGCAATTCCCACCGCACGTAGCGTCACTATCTGTTTCCAGACTTTGTCGATCACGTTGTATGCGACACTAAAATGATAATTGCGCCCTAAGGCCCCATAAACTATGGGCGGAAAAATCCATTGGATGTCAAGTCTATTCCATACCTCGTCAATACTAACGTCTTATTAATTCTAAAGAAATTGCTATAAAGCAATTGCTATATTGCTATATTGCTATATTGCTTCATTATGACGAGTCCCATGTCTCTTGAAAGTTACAATTTCTAAAAAATTATTGAATCGGTAGGCATAAGCACAAGGGAATGCATTTTTTAATTATATTATAGACCTCAATACGTGTCACTTCTTTTTACTCCCCAAGATTAAAAATTATCTTAAAGTTTGTAATTTTCATAGAATTGAAAACATTCAAAAGGACGTGATCGACACAGTGAATGCCTAAGACTTTCAGCATTGCTTGAAGGAATAGTAAAAACGTCTTCATCGGTGTATCCCTTTCACTCTAATTTTTTAGAAATTTAACATAAATTCTATCGAAGATGCAGAACTAGTAAAGGATAAACTTGGGCTGATCTTAGAACGAACAATTTGCTAGAATGAAAATTAAAACAGTCTCGGAGGATTCTTGTTCTTGTTTCATTCTGTTCTAAGCAAGATATTTAAACGAGTCAGGATTGTAAACATCAATTTAATTAATATTTTTTAAAAAAAAGGTTAAGAAACACTGGTCCAGAGTAGATTATTTTCAAGGCGATGTCTTCACATTCGTTTCATTCTCAAAATAACATCTTTTTAGCGAATTATTCTCGAAACTTTATCGTCGCACCTCGTAAACGATTACGTATGTAAGTACTTGTGTACATTTGCAGCAATTTGAACATTGAGCGTGAAATTTAGGTGGAGTTGAATTGTAAGTGGTCGAATAATTTGTATGCCGATACGTCAAACAGCGTAATTCGAGGTTGTTCGCCGAAATTACGAAAGGTAGTGAACTCTATGTATACGCTCATTGTATCCTTTCTTTCCTTTCCCAATCTCTACATTTTCATGCCATCGACACACATCATGAATTTCAAGAGTGACATTACAAACAACGACGGGAATAATACCGCGATTCGGTGGTATCGATAGCAGGGAATGAAAATAAATGATAAGGACAACAAAAAGTCTTCTTACTTTGTATCTCGAAACATTTAATAATTATATCTCCTTCGATATTTCTACTCCGATAGTTTTATGCAATTTCAATGAAATTTTATATTTAAATTTTCTATTCCCTTCTGACGATCTGGGTTAGGATGGATTTTGCTAAAAATCTGAAAATTAATAATGATGTCTTGTAGTTTGTTGTTTTTTAGTATGCATATGTATATGTACATATTCATTAGATTCTATTCAATTGATCAACTGTCTGTAGCTTGACTATTAATCAAAAGTCATTTATGGATTAATCGAATGAAAAATTGATTTCTGAATATACAATTTCAATTAATATCCATAAGATTGAATTGTTTATGTTGAGAAAATTACCAAGACGGAGAAAATAATTCGAGAACGGATCTTGAACCGATGGTTAAATGGCGAACAATACAGAATAGAAATTTCGCAAAATGACGGAAAAAATATTTACGAAGATGGTTGATATTAGCAACTTTATGACGAACCTATCGAGAAGCCCTTTACAAGAAAACCCTTTACAGAGGATATTCTGAAAACGATCATGACACGAAATAAGAGAGTACGAAATGATCGATAGAGCCGCCGCGCGCGCGCGCGCGCGCGCGCGCGCGCGATGTAGATTGAAAAGTGTCGTAGCATGATGTAAATGTTAATCGATAATGATCGCGCAACCAACGTAAACTTTTGGCAACAGGGACTGTTTAGCAAGGTGGAGGGTTAACCCGAGTCGGTAGGTGCGTAGCGATGTTCGCGGTTTCGTCGTACGACCTCGAGCAGCTCCTATGTATCTTGGACGTATTGGCATACAAGTCGCGTGCATAAGCGCGACGATATGAAGAAACATAAGCGCGCATACTCATCGGCCGTTGCCGTGTGTAACATCGCAACATTTATGAGGAGGTCATCAGATGGTTAAAGAAAGAGGAATCGTCAGGCCGAATGAAAGAAGGGGACAATAAGTGGGGACGGTGTGTATGCGTATGTAACGCGGGTGTCTGGACGCGAGTTTGGGTGCAAGGAATAGCACGGTTATTGCTGACGGATGACACGAAGACGACGCGACGGTCATCACGTGTATAAAAGTACGAGGAATCTTACCCCGAGGCATCAGTCCCCTGGCGATCCTCATACAAACCAACATGGCTGGAAAGGTAAGGAACGCATACCCAACGGTACACAACACCGATCTCATCCTGAACTTTACTCCCTTTGGTAATCCGACGATGCACTAGTTTCTATTTAATCTGGATTTCATCTTGATGAAATGGTTCGCTCAGGAACAAGTAACTTGGAAAAAACAATAATCAGAGGATCATTTGTTCGAATCGTTAAAGTAACGATGCAGATTATCGATGCAGAGCATCGAAAAACAAGTTCACGGTTCGCGTTTAAAGCGTTTCGACATACCGTAAAAGCAACGTTGTTTCCTCTTTCAGCTCGTCGTATTCTTAAGCTTGGCGGCTGTTTGTAAGGGAGCGTTGGTGCCCGCGGCGGTGGCTGCTCCTGTTATTGCGGCTCTACCAACGGCGAAGCTCGAAGAACTGGACTCCGTGCCCCAATACAGCTTCGCGTACGACGTGCAGGACGCGGTGACGGGCGACTCGAAGGCTCAGTACGAAACGAGGAACGGCGACATCGTGCAAGGCAGCTACAGCTTGATCGAGGCGGACGGTACTCGTCGTATCGTCGAGTACACGGCGGACCCGATAAACGGATTCAACGCGGTCGTCAGTCGCGAACCAGCCACACCGTTGGCCGCCATTGCTTCCCCGTTGGTACCTTATTCGCCTGGTATCATCCCTTCGGCTCCAGTTTCACCTATTTTGCCAGCAGCCGCTGGACCCTCGCCCGCGATTCCCGCCACCGGACCAGACTCCGACGTGGAGGTCGTCGAGGCCAGATCCGGCCCTCTGGTTGCGGTCTCGCCATCGACTCGCGATCAACAGCTCCGACAGCAACAGGAACAACAACTGCAACAGCTGCAACAGCTCGAAAGGCAACAACAGGAACAACAGCAGCAGCAACTCCGTCAGCTGCAGCAGCTCCAGCAGCTCCAGCAGCTCCAGCAGCTCCAGCAGCAATCCAGGCTGCAGTTGCAGCAACAGATCCAGTCGCGACAACAAGAGAGGCTGGACCTAGAACAGGAGAAGAGACAAGAACAGGATCAACCGCGACGCCTGCAGACTGCACGATTCCAACAACAACAACAACAACAACAACAACAAGACGCGCCGGTGAGAGCCGTCGCTGCCCCGGTACAAATCGCACCGAAAGCTCAACGACTGGTTGGACTACCCGCAGCTAACGCCATCACGAGTTACAACAATTATCCTTTCGCGTACGCTTACACAGCTGCCTATTCCTCGCCCCTGGCATACGCAGCGCCCCTCTCTTACGCACCCGCCGCCCCCCTCCACTAAACTATTTCTTAATTTCCATTGTTATTTGATGCTCACCTAATTGATATCGATGTTGCCGTTGCAATAAATCTGTGTTTATCACGAATTATGGACAAGTTGGTTTCTGCGTTTTAGTTCCTACGATATGCTGGATCGCTAAACCATGTACCATTTCGCACCATTGCAAACGCGATCTTGAATAACGGCTTTTCGGCTACGATTAAGCAACCTTGCGCTACATCGTTTCAACAACGCTTTCATAAATAATTCGAAATTACTTAAAAACTAGCTCACAGTTTCTACGTTCGGTGGATTTATGGTTCCAAGAATTCGCGATATTTTCCTCATATATTCGCAAGCTTACAACTGGTCTTGAGCAACGACCAAAATAAATCTTTTGCATGTTAGCGCAATCTTCGTAACTTTTCGACGGGGATACGTTGATAATCGGAACGATCGATACACGCGATTCGAACAAAATTACGAAACACGTATTTGCGACACTGTACGTTTCTTTCGCCAATACTAATTGATATTGGGTCTACATTCGCGACGTTAACGCCGTCGGAGTATTTTTATTCGTTCGTCTCGTTGCCGTACATATATGTATGTACTACGAACAGTACGTCGTAAAAAGGAGACGAAGATTTATTATTCAAGAGGATTCGCGCGACTCTCGTTCCTTTCGGGATTACGTACTTACAAGTTCACGGCGGGGCCAGTGTCCTCATAATTTCTATACCGGCGACACGATCGATGTAATCGCGCGATCTACATGACCGTGCGTACGCGTAATAAGAGTAAAAGCGTCGCAGATAACGTATCAAAAATATATGCCATCGATAAATATTACATTTCCGATCCTATTAGTTGTCATGCAGTCGACAACACTCTCTGTTTTATTATACGATTTCGACGTAAATGCTTTGCTTGCAGCTCTGTATTTAGTTCTCTCGATGCATCATATTTCTACCATTTAAACCGAAGATATTAGATTCATCGGGAAATATGAACAATCTCAATATGAATCTAGATAAAAATTTATATATATTCTTTGTAATATTAATTATTGTGCTCACATTTCATCGAGAAAACGTGATTATTGATTAGGAATCACAAAAGAAAAAATATATGATAATATATGTATATGACTTGGCCCAAATAAATATTTATCTTATTTTGTAAGCGAATATGTTATAATTTTGTTGCAACGTACATGTTGTAATGATTTTCGAAGGGACAAACTAAGTACATACACACGTGCCAGTCTGACATATTACTGACCGTTACTACTGTAACTCGTTTCGATATTGAGTCGTACATATTGCCAGACAATGGCTGGATTACATATTTCACTTCATATCGTACAACATTTTATGTCACAGTCACTTGATATTTTTCAAAATTATACCACTTATTAAAAGTATAGAAAAACTAATTCGTCTAAAATTATGTTTTTAACGCGAATAGTTTTCAAATAGTTTCGAATAGTTTTCCTCTCCGAGAGAATATTATTTTAAATACGATGAAATGCGTAATTGGAACGGGTAAGAATAAATTTTCAACTACGATAAAGCCGTTACATAATTTTACGCAACATTCGCGTAATTTATTTTCACTTTAAAATTGTACGACATTCCTAGGACAAGTCGCAATTGTCTTCTGACATAACCCAGCGACAATTTCAGCTGCTGTTAATAAATATGTATGTAAAAAGGCGTATAAAATGAAAGGTAAAGCAAGGACACGTGTGGTGTTCGAGGAAGAAAGGAGGCGTTTTTGTACGCAGGTATGTAATGTTTATCGCGAGACCCGTCGCCACACTTTCAATTCTTTTTCGCCAGGTGATCCTATATTTTCTCTGTTTTTTTTTTCCTACACACCGACGAAACAAACAAACCCAGAGAGAAAAGAATAACCTTTTCTTATTATGTATGTACTATACTTTGACACTAGAACCAGTTTAATTTTATACGAAGCGATTTTTTCATATTTCCATCAATAACGAAGATATGTATTTAAATGTTCCCAATTAAATGATTCATCCTGTATATGTATAAAGTGTCCTTGAACTAAATGGTCTCCATAAAAGAGGCGATTCAGGCTGTGAAATTAATGAATTAAAGGAGTTGGCAAAGATATCGAACAAGGTATCGATACATCTAATGTAATCACAACTGATAGACTAATAAAATACGTAGATGCGATTCAATGTTTATGTTTAGATTGGCGGTTTAATTTTAAAGGCCAGAAAATGGTATCGATCTCCAGTCTACAGAAACATTTTCAAAAATTAATTATGCATTTTTGGCGGAACGTTTATAGGATTTTTTACTCAATTTCACCGCCTGAATCACCTCGGTTTCTTTTATTTTATGTGACAACACATTCTAATAAAAAAAGAAACATTAATTACACGTGCAAAGCCATGCTCTCTAGTATGGACTGACTTGATGCGTTTAAATCGATTAATCGTCGTGGTTAATGGTCTTTCCGTGAAATTTAAGCAAAAGAAACGAAAATAAGGTGTGGGTGTGCAAATAGCATTTTGTGCCCACTCTTTATAAGGACCCCCGATGTCTTACAATTAGCTTTGCGTATTCGGTTACATACATACCTGTCCGTACAGACAAACTTTCACCGAACGAGCCAGGGTTGCAGCCGCGGCCGTCAAAGTACCGCGCCCAATGTCACGACGCGGCCCCTCGTAATCGCGCCCCGTATTACGTGGATCGCTACACAAGAAACCGGTTCACTTTTGGTAGACCGGTTACGGAAGAATTTTACTGCGCGGCCGATGAATTGCCTTGCCCGAAACCGTCGATCTTTTCTTTATTGATTTCTATTTAGAAAACGAACAATACCCTTTCAATCCTGATCGCTCTCTCTCTCTCTCTCTCTCTCTCTCTCTTTTTGCCTCTGACGTTCGACAATTTTGATCCGTTACATTTCGAATCTTACGAGTACGATAGTACGCCCACCAAACGAATAACCAATTAATTCACAGGAGACATCGCGAGTCGCTGCTCGCGCGATCACGCGTCTAAAAAATTAACCGCGTCGCTCGAATACCAAAATTCTAAATATCGCTTAAAAGTTTCAACGGCAACGTTATTGCGCGGGCGAAAGTTTGGCGAACGGAAATCTTCGACTGGTAAGAAATATCTCTTTGACTTCGATTGTCAGAATAGTCAATTAGTTTCGTATAGTTGGCGAAAATAGGCAAAGCTATTCTATCGATTGGTATAACGAACACAATTGTAAGGTTCGTTTCAAGTAGGTAATTGTCTTGGTCTTTGGTCGGTTTAACAAATTTTCGGTGCTAGCAAGTGTTGAAGATGTCTTTTTTTTAAATATACCCATACTACGAACATTTAATTTTTTAATCCAACTGGTGGCATTAATTACACAGTCGTATAGATTACATATCAATTTATTATACCATCGCGCATCGGTTAGGTGAGTTACATACCTGAGAACAGCGTGTATAGCATACGTAATGGTACGAGGAATTAAGAGATTGATATAACGGTTGCAGAGTAGCTCGTTCGATGCTCGTATCCTTTCCAATTAAACGCTGTTCCAATTTATCAGACAATTGTAATCTTTCATCGATGAAACTCGCATAAGATCAAGTATTTTCATAATCGTCATTACTGCTTTGGTCAGAATCGTTTAAGACTTCTTCGACAAACTCTTAATCGCGAGACATCGATCATAACTCATAATCGTGAATAAATAAACCATTAAAAAATAAATTTTACAACTTTGACCAAATGAAAACCGTATTGTACGTTACCTACTTCTGCCTTTGGTAGTTTTGCAAATTTCAAGACTAATTCAGAAATAGATAGATAGATAGATAGATTTTGAATGTGATCCGCTCGACGAATTAACGCTATCGAAACGTTGCGTAGAAATTGTTTTCGGCGTAGGTTCGACAGATTTATTCGAACGGTGATTTGTATCGTAAAGCGAATGTGAAATCACGCACGCGGTCCCGATACCTCATTGCCAGCAATCAAACGCTGCTTGATAACCGAGACACGTAAACAGTAGAGACAACTGCAAGTGCTATCGTGACCGGGGTATGCCTTTCTTTTAAAGATTAAAAGGTTACAAGACATTTCTACGCGCATGACAATGAAAAATGAATGTGTCTATTAGAAAAACATGTCTTTCGGGTTCAACGAATACACTTGCCCCGAGAAATAGTTCGACCGGCGACAACAATTGTTATTCCGACAACTCTGCGAATAAATTATCGCCCCTGCGATTAAGCAACCCAAACATTATGAAACGTCGTCCGATCTCGAAAATAATAATACATTCGAAGAACGAGAGTACATTTTCTACCTTTTGACATTATACTTTGTCGGCCAGTTTAGCATTGGCCTCTCTATTTTCTAACCCCATACGTTCACTTCTCACCCTTTGCCATCTTCTTTAGCATCGAGTTCCGTTTTCTCATGCATCAGCGTTCAATTCTATCAAAATATCTTCCATTGATTCTTATTCTTAGTAATTTTGTTTCGCGATGTCGCGAAATATTTTTCGCGGACCGTACGTATGTAAGTACTTACTACGCGTATCGAACATTGTATAAGGAGTCCGTCCATCTCGCGTCCGCTTCCAAAAAACTTAATCGTTCTGGTTCACTTTTATTATGCAATCGTTTAAATCGAGGCCTGGAATTCGGACGCCTTTCTCCCCTGGTAATGGATTCAGTCCATGTAATCGAGATAAATTTCGTTATACGCGAGTCCTCCGTTTTCCTCTTTTTATTAAACGTCTTTAAAATATATTATATTTCGCAAGTTAAGGGGACCGGAATATCCTCCGCGGCGAGCACGTTTACTCGATTCTTTCATCGCTAATGACATTCGACGCTACTATGTATATGTATTTAAATGAATATGTACCGCGCAAGTTAGAGACAGAGATAGATTAAGCTTGTTGCTATTAATGCCGGGTTTCCTTAGTTCTCGTTACATCGCATCGCGTGGCGTGCGATCGTTTCGCAACGTTTGACGAGTCGGGACCCCGGACCACGTAGAAATTTGACAATTCTGCTCGGTTTGCGAAGCACTTGAGAAACAAGTACGAAAGTAGAGAGTAGAAAGTGGGTCAGTTCGGGCGAACGTCAGAAACGGCTCGACAGGCAAGGACGGAGGAATGGAAACGCTACCCTATCCTGAAGGTTGCGCGCGCGTAGGCGGTTAGTTCGAAAAAGAGGAAGTCGAGATTGTAAAATTCGATTTGTTAGTTTGTAGGATCGATCGGTGAAGAAGGTAAGTGGTGAATATCGCGAGGAACGAGAATATCGTGATACATTTGTAACGAGTTTAATTGGTCAGAAACAAGTCTGTTAAAAAAATAAATAAAGTTCAGCCTGAGTCGACACCGTTGGCAGCGAGGCGGTAGCGCGGTTTAGAGGTAGTGTGCGGGGCCGGCGTAGGTAAGAGCTGGAGCAGCCGCCAGCTTGGCGAAGGATGCGGGGTGAGCCGAGTAGGCGATGGAGGCGGCTGGAGCGACGGCGGCGTACGGTGCATGGTGTGCAACGTATGGGGCGGCTAACGAAGCGGCGTATGGGCTGGCGTACGAGGCGGCGTATGGAGCGGCGTATTGAGCGGCGTATGGAGCGGCGTGGGCGACGGCGAGCTTAGCCGAAGGGGCGGCGTAGTAGGCCTGAGCGTGAGCCAGGGGGGCAGCGATCTTGGCGACCGGGGCGGCGAGAACTGGTGCGGAGGCTGCGTAGGTCAGAGGTGCGTGGCCGATGGGAGCAGCGGCCACGGCTTTCACGGCAACGGCGGCTGGTTCCTTGCGTACTACGGCGTTGAATCCGTTTACTGGATCAGCGGTGTAGTCGACGGTGCGTTTCGTTCCGTCGGACTCGATCAGAGAGTAGCTACCCTGGACTACGTCTCCGTCGCGGCTCTCTTGCTGGCTCTTGGCGTCCCCGGTCAAGCTGTCGTGCACGTCGTAGGCATAGCTGTACTGGGGATGAGGGTCGTAGTCGGCGTCCACAGTCTTGGCCACCACCGCCTTGGCTACGGGGGCTACAGCCACGGTCTTCGCTACGGGGGCCACGGCCAACGGAGCTGCCGCTGCGTAGGCGATGTGCGCCGCAGGGGCGTACGACAAGGGTGCGGTTGCGGGCAGGAATCCGGCGTTGGCGGCAGCCACGAAGGCAACGAACACGACTAACTGAAATATCGATAGAAATCGTTACAAGTTTTACCTGTTTTCGGATGGATCTCGAGGAGGATCTCGTCGAACGGTCACGATCGATCTCGCCGATGCTGGGACACATGGACCGAGAAACGATACGAGCAGGACGGACCCTTTACCCACCTTGAAGGCCATTGTTGAGATGATTTGGTCGGTTTGGATCGACTGAGCGACTGATGATGCCAAACGTTTATTCGGTCTGCTTTATATACCAACGATCGGGCCACTACGAGACCATTTTCTCCCACCAATCTGCTCAGGTTTTGCCGGACTTTCAAAGTTTGGCAGTAGATCGCATCAACCGGCCGCACTTGAACTTGGCCGGTACAGGGATATCCATACGTTCACCTTCGTTCACCTTCGTTTAACACTAGATCTCTACCAACGGTGTCACTAATTACTTCTTCTTTTATCGTTTCTTAACACATTTACACAATAAAAAATTACACATTTCCGCTACCTGTTCTGTTCTTTCAAACCTTTTATCACTTTATTCAAATCTACGGGCGATTAATTTTACAAAATGCTTTTCTTTCCTTTCTCTTAAATATTTTATGTCTCTGAAATATCGTATCACTTTATCGAAATATGTACATACGTACATACGTATGTATGTATGTACATACATATGTATGGATCATCTAATTTTATAAAATGGTTTCTTTTTTATGAGTAGGTAATAGGTAGGTTGTACGTATGTAAATAGTACGCGAACGATCGAACGAACAGCTAGCTGCGAAACATCGCTGTCGCTGTTTTGTCGATCGCGAGTCGTACGGTCGATCGATTTTCGAAATTGCTCAAAATTTCGAGACGGGTCGTCTGGTAAAAAGGTGAATTCCTCGGTAACAGCTCGTCGTGAAACTTTCGAGCGATACGTATTTGGATCTACCTCGTTCGTTGCGTCACATCTAACGTTACCCGGCAAACAGAAGTGGAGCACTTTCATAAAGAAAAAATAGCCGGCTCGCCGGCCCCTGCCGAATTCCGAGGCCCGCCGCGATCGATCGATAGCCCCCGGGCCATCAGGGATCCACATATACCGATCCAGAATCAAGACCTCCGACTCGCGTCAGCCAGCTTCTGTCCTCCTGCGCCACGCTGATCGAGGAGCAACAGTCTGCGTGAAATCAATGTCACAACTTCTATTTAGGTCTTCCGCACTTCTTACGTATCGATCAATGGAATTTCAACGCGTCCGATTCCATCGGCTAATTGCACGTACAATTTTATGCGAAAACGGACAACATTTTGCGAATCCAACTTTCAATACCGTCGATTCGATTTTTTTCCCAAAGTTTCTCCATTAGAAAATAAATACCGTGCAAATAGAAAAGAACAAGTTTAAGGTGGTATTTTCTCACCGCTACATGAATTATTATATTTCTATGCCCGCTAATCGAATGAAAAAAATCGATCGGTTTTGCGCAATCGTCTTCTTACATCATGTGTACGTAATCTCATCCCCTTCTTATTTCTTTGTACCACGAAAAAACCAGTCGATTCTACCAATTATGGAAGAACTCAAGGTCGCTGCCCGAATTTATACGACACTTAATTGTAATAAATTGCTCCGAGGACAATTTGCTAACTAACTCTGCATGCACTATGTATGTATATTCTGATGAAAATAATTGTTCTTTATAGATTTCGGACTAGCGTTTCAACTAAATTCTAGACAACTTGTAAAGCTTGTTAGAATTCTTTCTTTAGAAGTATTAACGTGAAATTGTGAAAAAGCAAATGTAAAATTTTTAATCGATTCAATTAACGAATAATTGACAATGAACAAGATCTATGGTAAACATTTATTCTAAATATTATTTTATTTTAAAACAAATCTAGTCGGTTTATCCATAAAGTAGACCACAGCGAACACCGTGTTTTCCTCTAAGAAAAAAAAAAGTTGCAAATTAGATCAAGTAAGTTGTCTCGCAAGGACAACTACCGGAGCTAGTGCACCGCAACGATGTTCACGATGGTCCAACGACCATCGTCGCTCTTCGAATTGTTCGTGTTGGGCGTGGTCCGATTTCTTGCTCAATTTTGTGCCACTCTGCGGCCGCGAATCGGGTGACCGTCGAAGGTACCGTCACCCAGTTACGTCAGCGTGCCCGTGGGTCCTGTTCGCGCGGTATAAAAGCCGAAAACCACCCGACCGTGGTATCATTCGCATCACAGACAGACAGACAGACAGACAGATCAAGAGATCTTCCAATCAAGCAGCAAACTACAATGGCCTTCAAGGTATAAACCAAAGAGAATACGTAACTCCTTTCGTAGGACACGTTTAAACTCACCATCCTACCGTATTTCGATTCCAATTATTCGTTCTGATTAATATACATATAATAGTAATCGTGTTTAAAAGTACCAAAGAAAAAAGCTCCTTCTTTTTCACGATCGACGTTATTTTCTCACTCCGAGCGCAGGCTCGAAAGTGGAACGCGCGTTTCGACAATTCCATCCGATTTCGATAACGGTACAACCTCCACGTTGATCCAAGACACTTTGTACAACTTTCTTTATCGTCCACGCGCATTTTCTCCAATCGCATTCTAACGAAAACAATTTTTTTAATTCGTAGTTCGTCGCCTTCGCCGCTCTGGTCGCAGCTGCCAACGCAGGACTCCTGCCTGCATCCGCGCCGTTGACCTACGCACCTGCAGCTCAGCTCGCGTACGCCGCAGCAGCCCCGTTGGCAGTGGCACCGGTGGCCAAGACGCTCGCCGTAGCCCCCGTGGCCAAGGCAGTGGACGCCGACTTTGACCCCAACCCTCAGTACAGCTACGCCTACGACGTGCACGATAGCCTGACCGGAGACGCCAAGAGCCAACAGGAGACCCGCGACGGAGACGTTGTACAAGGCAGCTACTCCCTGGTCGAACCTGACGGTACCAGACGCATCGTCGACTACGTCGCCGACCCGGTCAATGGTTTCAACGCCGTCGTTCGCAAGGAAGCAGCAGCCGCACCCCTGGTAGCCGCCGCGCCTCTAGCTAAACTGGCCACTCCTGTTGCCTATGCGGCCCCGATTGCAAAGATCGCCGCCGCCCCCGTTGCCTACGCCAAGTACGCTGCAGCTCCGGTTGCCTACGCGGCCCCCATCGCCAAATACGCCGCACCACCAGCCCTCTCTTACGCTGCACCGATCGCCAAATTCGCTGCATCGCCTTTCGCCTACGCCGCCCCTGCTCAGGCTCTCATCAACTGAACCCGATCTGTCGTTTTTAGGAATAATGCTCGTCGAATAAAGTGATTTTTTTTTTTTAGCAACTATAAAGAACGATCGTCTGTCTACTCTTGCTTTCGTCTACCCCCCCTCCCCTTCGCTCTTAACACATCATTTTTAGCTACCTAAATTTTTCCACGAAATTCAAAACTTTTCAATCGCTGTGGAAAAATTATTTTTTTCAATTACGGGGCGCAATTACAATCGTTATTTCTGAATGGACATGCCCCCGAAATCCTGCGCATTTTCGAGACAAAAATTCAGTACGAGCGGAACTTTAAACGTTAATAACTTTTTTAACCAAGTCTCTCCATCAACAAATTGCTATTATTCATTTTCGTCTTATTTTCGTCTCGAAAATCTTCCGTAAAAAATTTTTCCCAGGTGTGGCCAAACGCCCTTTATACATATGTATACTTGTATGTATACTTGTAGTGACAAGTTCTCATTATGTAACATTCGTCACACCACGGACATTTTCTTATTATTACCACCCGAGGGAACTTTTAACACCGCATAAAATGCCGCCACTACCTCCATACGAAAAGAAAACATAATTTATGGTACTTATTATTACACCTGCCTCGAGCCACTTGCAACGCTGTCTACCTGAACCGGCGAGCAGCCATTGCCTCAGCTACATCATTTATAATGGTAATTGTGATCAACCGATTATAAATAATATACATTATAACAATTATTTCATACAGTATAGAATTTTTAAATTATTTCATGTATGTACTATGTACTTACACACGAGCGTCGAAGCGACTTGCGTTTCTATGTTCTTCCTTGTCTTGCAATTGAAAAGGCAATAGGAACGGCGATCTTGTCTGTGTTCGTTGTTTTCAATTGCAAGACAAGGAAGGACATAAAAACGCACATCGCGTCGTTTCGACGCTCGGTGTGCCCCCGGCCTTAAAATGCATATATGTATGTAGGTACATACATACATACATACATATATTGTTGGAATATGGAAATTCGAGTAAAAGGGTTGATCGCGACATCTATGTTATCATACAGTAGACATTGTATTGCTGCCATCTAGGCTTTGTACAAGTGCTCTGCTGTGCACGTTCCTCGACCTCTCTGTCATGCAACATATGTATACACATATGTATGCATCAGACATATTATTATTATGAGACAAATATTATATTTGTTGCGTATTTAGTATTTCCGCTTTTTTATTACTTATCATGCAGCAAGCAAAGTCATTGAGAACATCGAGTACGCGAGACGAAACGATAACAAACACATCCTCCCTCTCGATCTAATAAATTCCTTGTAACCCATTAACGATATTCCAATTTCGATAATCTGGTTTTGAAGAAAAAAGTGAAGAAAAAACCTTCGATTGGCTACAGATTGCGACTGTGACTTGTACAGATGCATTTCCATCTATTGGTATCACTTTTCGATCAATCCAATTACGATCGCTGACACGGCTATTGTATTTAGACTCGCGTCGTTCTTATCGTTCCTCGAAGAGACAGCTTTTTATTAACAATTCACGGACAGGCGTCGCATTCTCAAACACTTTCTCCGCTAGTGCCGGCGGTATTGCGTGTTACACAATACAACCACGCCTCGTAAGTACGCATCAAGCATCACGCGCAATGCACGTAATGTGAATCGTTGCGTTAATCGGAAACTCCAGGCAAACCAGATTCGTGCAATGGTACAAACCTTGATCCACTTACGTACGATCCACAGTATACATGTACCCTCCTTCGTAAGCGTGGTTATACCTTTACTGTTCATAAAGTTCGTAATTGATCGTAAGGTTGCAAGTACTTGATACACGGAATATTGTTCGCTAAATCTTCTACATATATGTACATCTACGTTCGCAATAAAAAATAATTCAAACTTGAATCTCGACAAGCGTATTTGCCACTGAAAGAACCATACATAGAAATGTTATTTAGACATATAGCGGAAAAATAAATTTTATTCAACATCCATATTTTTTAAGAAAAATATAACATGAACAAACTTTATTTAACGTCACTGTTATTAAAAATATATTATTTTCATTTAGAAAAATATGTTTTACACATCTTGTACATACCTATGAATGATATTTTTACATTACATACGTTTTTCAGCTAGATATAGAAAAAGATAAGTAAACATCTCCTGTAAAGTGACTAACAATAAGTTTCGTTACGATATTTCACTATCAAATAATTCATATTATTTATGAAGTGTAATACTTATAAATAACAGTTTATCGATGTTAATAGTAATAGAATAACAGAAATATGTATATTACTTTTACTCGACGGTACTAGCACAAGCTCTCTCAACTTTTAACAGAATCAGCTATATGTGCTATGTTATGTTTTAATTATATCCTGAGAAAAATAATAAAAATCGTGTAAAGAAATATTAAATTAAATTATGCCTGTTGATCCCGACTCGCTCGTTCTGGTGCTGCTAGCCTGAAAATTATTTCCTTACAGTATTATACAAAACCAATAAACTGTCAATTACTTGCATACTTTTGCATTACTTATAAATTCTACAGTTATCATTTCTTTTTAATTATAATTTTCCTTACTGATGAATTGTTACATAATCTTCGGCAAGGACATTGGATGTATCTAAAGGAGTCAGAAACGTAAACTGGCTTTGCGGATGTGTTTTTGTATGATCCAAAAGAATATCCATTATGACTCGTCGATTCACCTTATCCTAATTAAAATAGTTATTAATTAATTAAATATTACACTCTGCGCATGCATCTAATGAAATCTTTATTTCACCATTAATATGTACCATGAAAACGTCAAATTCATCGAGGAAATAAAAAGGCAAACCAGTACAATCCCAAAGCGCTAAAATGAAAGCAACGGTCGAATAAGACCTTTCACCGCCTGATAATGATCTTGCATCATTCTTTGTCTTTTTACTGTCATTCAACGCATTCACTTCAAGTTCAAGTATTTTCCGCGCATGATCAATACGTATAGTACCCTGAGATTCAAATATTTAACGAGGCATGATAACGTGAAGATATAAATATTTTACATGTTCAAGTAAAAGTTCGGTTATACATTACTTTTTTGTTCCGTAAAGCGAGTACGTTTGAAAATGAATTTTGTATGTTTACACCATATCTTTGTTTCATTTCGAAAAATAAGGTTTTCCGATCTTGTAGACGCTTAAGATGTACCTGCAACATGCATATACAAATGTAAATAATTATTTTAATTATTATATCATGTATGAGTATATGAGTATCAGGTACTCGGTTTAATTAACTCTTAAAAAATAGAAATATGTATTTGGTACGCGATCATGACAGGTGTAGTATCCTATCGTCCTTCCACGAAGGACGAAGGCATAGCGAGCGTGTTTCCATCCCCAGTCCTGTTGCGGTCCGCTGACTCACAGGGATGTAAACATGTTGTGGCTTCTTCTCGCGGAAGGACGATACATAGAAAACATTATTTAACTTACTTGATAGCTCTTTTCAATTTTCGAAGCTAATTTCAAATCTTTTCCACATTTTGCTTCTTTCTCTTTTAAATCTTGCCGTAATTTTTCTATGGTACCAAATTTTCGCTCTATTTCGTCAATTTCTCCTTTCAGATCTTTGGATAACCTTTCAAGTTCTTTTACCGATCTGTAAACACAGTTCAACTTTTTCTCTTTACGAATTACATATTTCAACAACCAATCAAATTCACTTTCTTTATAAATGTACCAGAACTATAGGTATAAACTTAATCGATTAATAAAACTTGGAAAAAAAAAAAATATAAAAATTAACAATTTCTTTTATAAATATTCAATTTTTTAGTTTCTATATTACATTGTAAGTTAATAACCTTTTTGTTTCTATTCTATCGCATTGCATTCTAGCATCGGACACTGCCTTTTCAGTAACTCTTTGTTGCATTTCTAATTTCGCTGATACAGTTTGCAGAGAGCAACGAAGTGTTTCTAACTTTTTTATAGCGTGTCGATTCGTTGCACTTATCGTTTCCTTTTCATTTTCCAATTTTTTTATATTTTCCTACATACACACACAAGTATATAAGTATAAAACACAAAGATACGAACGTAATCTCTAACATTAAAAATACCTTCAGTGGGTTAATTTTCAAATCTAGATTCTGCCTCAATTCTCTATAATTTTTAACTTCGGTCTCTAAACGTTCAATCTTTTTCTGAAGTTCAACAACATTTTCATTCATGCGAGATTCCTCACATTTTTCTTGATCCAACTTTTTTTCTAATTCGGTTAATTCGTTTTTCTGTTCACAGTAAGATTTATGTAGTCTCAACAGTAATAATTAATATAAAGAAGGGAGTATTCGATAAACCACTTACATATACAATAACAGACATAGCCTCGGTAGCTTCAATTTTATCCTTTAGATCATCAATTCGCGTTTTATACTGATTTTTGCCAGTATGGAGATTCGCGACCGCTGCATTAACAGATATTAATTCTGAACTCATAAGTTCCTCTTTTTCGCAGGCCACCCTACACGATTGCATAACCGCACTTGTTTCATTTTCTATAGTACGAAACTCTTCTTCTAATGCGCTGATAAAAAAAAAACCCGGAAGTAGGAGTAGAAATTTTATAATGATATTGAAAATATTTTTATAGAAAAAAAAAAAAACAAAAATCGTACTTAATTGCATCGTTAACGGAAACTTGGAGAAATTTGGCTTTTAAGTCGCGTGGTCCACCGTAAGACCTATAATGTGGATCTGGATAGAACATGTCGCCTTGCTGAGTGAAAGCTCTTTTACAATTCTGTGGAACTCTTGTAGCATCAGACATAATATCAGACGCTTCCTTGCTAGTTGGAATCAGCAAAATACATTCAACTTCACGCCGATCGATCAGACAATTGGCAATTACAGGATCTGATATGTCCATTGCATTTAAGAGATTGGAATAATTTGCCGATCGAGTACAATGAGCATGAACATCATGAATCTAGAAAGACAAATATATCTTTATAAATTTATATTATCTTTAAAAAATTGTATAAAAGAATTGTCTTACTTTGCTGTAAAATTTGCTGCATATTATCTGTGGAGTTTTTTCATCCAAGTAAATCTCCTTCATAATTGCATTTAATACTTGGGCATCGTTACTATTATCAGCGCAAAATATACTAAAAGTATTAAATCCTAAATAATTTTCGACCGCAGCAGACCATGCCGGATCCTTCATTTTTATACATGCCCCTAAATACAGGTAAGATTATACATTTTTATAAACATTTAACGAAAATATTAGTATAGATAATGAAATAAATAATTTACTTCATACCAAGTGGACCACGCGGTTTCTCTCGAAAATGTCCATTATTATATTCTTCTTCGATCCTTCTCAAAAGACGCGGTATATTCTGTCCAAATACGGTCAATGCGTTGTCAGAATATTGCTTGCGTGCACTTATTTCTCGCCTAATTTTCTCTTAAACGGTCAAGTTAAATTTATTTATTCCACACAATTAAATCTCTTCAAACATAAATCTACATATTTTCTAATCTTTAATTATTCTACAAATAATTGAATACTCACGCATACGAATTTCATAGTTGCTTATTTCAACTTTCGAAGCTTTAATTTTTTCTAAAAGTCGCACTTTATCAGTCTCCAAGTGTGTTTTGTGAGTCTGTTTAGTCCGTAACAACGCTTCAATTTCGTTCAACTTTTGCTCAAAATGTGTCAACTGATCTTTCATTTTATTTCTTTCGTTTTGTTCTACATTATCATCGCTAAAATAAACATGTACTCGTATTGATTCTTTATTTGATTATAAATTAGACGAGAAACTGTATCGCGAACCTTTCCAATCGATGTATTTCTTTTCTGATCATACTTATATCATCCTCCAATCTCTTAATCTTACTTTGAGTAGAACGCCACTCCCTTACTTTTGTGGAATGTGCATCCTTATTTACACTATATTCTTCTCTTACTTTAATGTATTGTTCCGAACTATTGCTAACTTCCTCTTCTACTTGTTTAATTTCCTCTTTTATTTCTCTATTAAAAAAATATAATAATATATGTTATCTTTTGATATACAGGGTGTGTGTCTCGCTCACTCGGTATCGATGGTACAACCGAGAAGGGGGGGCGATTGATTCTACAATACATGGAAAAAGAAACCGAAAATGATGAATGAAATGTGTTCATTTAGAGCGATCGATGTTATAGAGCTTGTTCACGCTATTAGTAGTGGACAGTAGTTTTTTCAAAAACTATTCTAATTCGAATAGATTTCGAAAAAATTGCTGGCTAGCAATAACATAAACACACTCTGTATACGTGCATATGCAATGAATAATTAAATAATTATTAATGGTTCATACTGAATTTTGTTATTTATTTCTTCATTTCTTGATTCTGTAGATGATTCTGCATCCCGAAGTGATTTAATACTATCTTCGTGTTTCTTGCAATCATCTTCGATCTGTTGTAACTTTATTTCTTCCGTTATAGCCTTCACGGTAAAATATAAATTTTATGATATTAATTAAAGCAATGAATTATTTTATAAGATGTTCATACATTAAACTTTTAACTCACAATTGCCCAAATCAATTCCATTTCTAAACTAGTTAATTCATGCCGTAATTCATCAATTTCTTCTACTCTTTTTATATTTGTTTTAAGCTGCTCGACTTCTTTCCTTGCGTCCGATAAAATCTGTAAAGATTTATATCGATATACATATACGAGAAGAAACTAATCGTTACAAGAAAATTCTAATACAAACATACTTCGTTATATTGTTTTAATTTTTCAAATTCCTGTTGACATATTATTTCGGCATCTTTATAATTACTACCGATTACATCTAAAAATGTCGCTTTCATAAAGAACTCGTACTTTTCTTCCGGCTTGGACGAAACTAGAAATGTTCTTGATATATCCTGATTTAGAATAGAAATAGGATTATCTATTTGAATATTCATTGCTCTTAATACATTATCAAGCTCGTTTCGTTTTGTTGAAATCACTTCGCCTATTAAACATAATTCGATATACGTTTATCTCAAATATTTAAAAATCTAAGCAAAGCTTAAATCAACCAACATTAATAAACAAACACTATCAATACCTTTCCAATTTTTTATTTTATACGACGATGAATTTCCAATATTACGAAGAACTGTTATCGATTCGCCATAAACGTCTGGTTTGTACGCCATGGGCCCTTTATTCAATAACGTTACTTCCACCATTGCCGAATGTTTTCCTTTTTTTATAAAACCTACATATTAAAGAATTATGTTACTAGATTAAAGAAATATCGGAACACAAAGAAATAAAGAATTACTGATAACTGTATAATGTGCTTATACTTTTCACCGATGTCCCACGACTAGTGATGTTTGCTCTAGCGCCAAGACCAACAGTTAGAGCTGTCAATATTGCACTTTTGCCACTTCCATTACGACCAACAATGAAATTCACATTTGGATTTAATATTACTTCCATGGCATCGTGACACATAAAATTTCGCACTAAAATTTTTTTTATTTTACCAGCTTTACACTGTAAAGCACAGTATGTAGAAATGTATCAATACATAGAAAATATCGAAACGAAACTATTCAAACAATTAAATCTTAACCACTTACTTCCTGCGTAAAATCAAAAGAATTTTCCTTCCCTTTTGACCGTTTCGATTGATGTTCGTCTGGTTCTCCAGAAAGCCTTTTCCTTCTAGTTCTCGTATCGCTTTCCATAATCTCCAAAATGTTTGCAATCGCATACAAATTCTCTATACTCGTTCAAATAACCGCGCAATAGTAACTGCTAGGATCACCATTTTTTTTCTACAGATATCTTATCGATTTTATTAAAAATTATGTACTTTGAATCGTTAAGTAAGTTTTATATTTCTCTGTAAATGGAAATTTCAGAATTGTTTCTTTTCAATCAGAAGCCTAATAATTTTAAGCACTTGACGAACCACTCTGTGGTTCATCTCTTTAGATAAGCGTGCAACTGCAGCGTGCTAATCTTTCCCGCCAGGCATTACATTTTTCTGATGTTCCATAACCATTGTACACACAAAACATATAGATTTCTCATCAATTGTATCTTTACTCTCCATTTTAACCAATAATATTACAATAATAGAAATACCATCGATCCAATCGTAAAATAGAATTTTTAAAAATTATAAACATATATGGGTATTTTTACGCGTATATTTTTTCAAAAAATAAAACTGTAACATACGCTAACGTTAACGAGTATTTTATTTACAAGTGAAATTGATAGAAATTATTTCAGTACTTATGGTCTAGGGCGTCTTGCAGAATATCGCAGAAATTCCGCCAATAACCCGCAGCGTCGCCTTGCCGCTCAAGCTGACCATCGAACGCGAATTCAATCATGCAAGTGTAGGGAATTCATTTTTATCTCCGGCGATAGAATCCCGACGCGACATCGGCATAAGGGTTCAAACTCACTGGATACGTGATACGTTGCATTAAAATGTTTCTAAATGGACCGGATATTTTTACACATGCGCGATGAAAACAGTAACGTACATACTAAACGTCATGGAAACGGCAGCAACAGGTGAACCAGGTTTAGGCATTTAAAGTAAGTGCGTATCTCTATTATTATTAATTACGTAAAACTGACATTCTATATAATTATTCCAATATGCCTTACTTGCTTCTCTATTTCATATAAATTATATAATAGTTCATGTCGTTTTATAAGTATAAAATTATTTTTAAATAAGTACGCATATATAAGGTAAAATAAAAACCCATTTACTGCCATTCGAAACTTTTTTTAACATACAACTATAGATGTAATCAATGTTAAGACGTAATTTCTCGTCATTAATTTTTTATAAAATGACAAAAATATGCGAGGGGTTAGAAGAGTGAAAATGACAACTTCTTTATTATTGAAAGAAAGCATAAACATAAAAAAAGGCTATTATTGTAATAATTATATACATATAACGATTGATCAAGTTTTTTTTTTATTTATCATCGTTTGGGTATCAGTGATGGTATCGCACCATGATTTAGGTTTCGCACATTTTGGAGTTACTATCGTGACAGTATCGTTTCATAAAAACAAATCCGTACGCTGTTACGTATTACATTTTCGTTTATATATACACGCAACACAAAAGTATCGTTGAACTTTGTTAATACATAAATTTGATTCTTGATTAAAAGGATAATAATTGAGTTTTTTAATATACCAGTGATCGGAATGTCGGTCAAACATATTTTAAGAATGACAGGAATATAACTCTTAAAACATTCTTCTTACATTATTGAAATTATAAATAAAAGTAAAGATTTTGAGAGCCACAACGTTCTTTTTTTAAATTAAAAATATTGAATAAGAACAAATTGATTTTACAAAATGTTTTATAAATTTTCAGAAAAAAATCTGGGGTCCGTACGATACCTATTTTCATTTAATCAAAGCACTTCACTGACGCCGTTTTCGACGCGCATGTGCGAAAGAAAACACTTTTCCTTTCTGGCAACGCAGCTCACCACCTGTTACACAATAAAATTTGAATTGCGACGGTTAGTCCTATTAACTTGTAATCATATAATTAGACATAAAAGATACTTGTTGAAAAATGAGTGATTCTGGAGACAATGTTAAATATAAGTGGACATCGGAGGGCACCGCATTACTTATATCAGTTTGGTCGGATAAACAAGTTCAGGAACAATTTGAATGCAGTTCAAAACCACAGCTTATTTGGGAAAGCGTTGCACGTTATATGAAGAAAAAGAGACACGAGGTTTCTAATGAATAATGCCTATCTCGGATGAAACAGGTTCTTGTGTGTTACCGTGAAGCTAACAGAACTGATAATCGAACAACTGTAAAACGCAAAATGAATCAATTTATGAACTATTAGTTTATTGACATTTTCAGAAATGTTACATGCATCGTTGTGAAATGTTTTCTAACGATGCCATACACAAATGTCGCCGTATAGCTGTAATAAAATCATGAAATAGCAAAAATATTTAATTCTTCGTTATAATGGACCACAATGCATTAGAAATCCAGGACAAAGCAGTGTTAATAAATTCGTCACGATAACACCAATGTAAACTTGTTATAAAAAATATGAATAAATTTACAATTAAAATCACTTAAGCGTGTTTATTTTTCATTTCTATATGTTCCATTTTGTTAAATATTTAGTCGTAAGGTATCAATTTTGAAGTACTTCAGATTATACATAAAGATGCTATATTTAAGAGTAAGGTTCATTAACGACTCCAGCGAATATCGATATTTCGTTAAAATATATGCATTCCTGTCACAAAATTGTTGACGCTAATAATTAATACAATATGAAGATTGGATTAACTTATGAACGTATGTAATGTAACATATATGTATACTGCCGGTGGAAAATTTCCACCACTTTTCCTTTTTTTAATAATATGTATTCCCATCTCGCTAAGGTATTGCAGAGAGAATGAGGGAACGTGTCGCCTAATTACCTAGTTACTCTTTGGCCGTCACTAATCATTCATTACTGGACTATGACCTTAACCTTTTATACTCGGAATGTCATTAATTTTACTTACCGAAATCAGCAGTGCGGGATAACCCAACTTTATTTTTCCTTCGTCTCGATTCTAGTTATGTTCGAGAAAATGTTGATTATATTTCTAAATCGCGATGAATGATTCCATATATGTATAATTTATTGTTCAGACACAATGCATACAGTTTTTATACTTTAGGCTCGTTGATATGACCAGTAAACAATGAGACGAAATTAACTATTTTTCCTTCGTGCTTTGTCGTTTTTACGATACTATAGAAAAATGGATGTGTAACAGCGAAATCCACAGGAAAGGTCAAACACAATTTCATCATAATAGTACCTGGAACAAATTACAGTATATGTATAAATCACCATGCACAGTGAGTGTATCGCATGTACGGGAATTCGGAACAAATTCTAACTTCCATCCAAACTAATCAATTTTCAGACTTTTCGGACCCTTAATATTGTTCAACAGTCCCGTGCAATCGAAAATTTTCAACTTTTTTAATGCTTTTAATGGAGTTAGAAGGGATGTGTAAACTTTAATCGAATGTTTATGAAATAATAATGTATTACCCTTTTTCCCCTTTGCTTCGATTAATGCGTTTATTCTTTTTAAAATGTTATGTATACATCGTTTGATTATATTTTTTTATATATTCGCCATTTTGTCAAATATCTACGATCTTTTCCTTCAGAATACTTCAGATTGACGACTGTTAACTGTAGTATTCGGTAACGAATATATGTATAAGTGTTTTAAGTAAATTCGATGAATAGTTAACGCATTTTTGTAAAATGCATACAAGTATATTGATAACTTGTAAATATTAAGAAATTATAATTATATATAATAAGAGTTGGCTATAAGAAATATAAAATGAAAGAAAAATGTTACTGTTTTAAACAGTTTCCTTTAAGTAAACATAATTGATAATTTGTTAATATAATTTAATTGTGTAATTTATTCATATAAATTATTAACAAATTACCATATGTAATTTAATTGTTCTTAAAATCTCATCACTCCAGCAAAAAGCGAAATTGTGTCATGTTTAATTGCAAAGTAAAAAGGTTTGTCAATTTTGAAAACTAAGGGTGGCTCTGTTGGAACTGGGGCACAGCAGTACACGACGAACATACCTAAAAATAAATATATGTATACATGTCGATATCTGCTATTAAATACTTCAGTATCAAATTAATTGAATATCAACGATAGTATCGGTATCGATTCTGAGCTGGCAGACAGGTTATACATACTACACGTAAATACAATTACTGGCTCTGTTACGTGCCGCCATATTTGAAAGTTATAACTGCGTTTTACGGGAACATTTTGTTTTACAAGATTTCGGATTTCGGATTTCGGATTTCTATGAATTTTTTTTCTTTTTACTGCTTGGAATTCGGGAGAAATGTTTGATAACTTTTGGAAATCTCGTAAATCTCGATATACATACCAAAGACTGGACATATTATTTACTTTTCTATCTACATACTATGTTTTACATTTGCACATAATTCTTAAATACGAATTGTAAATTTCTTCATTATTTATAAAAAAAACACAACAAGGAAAGCATTATAAAATGTATTATACTATATCAAATATCACATATCCCATATCATTTTAGTCGTCTTGTTAATATGTATTCCGCGACTCTCGATAATTTCGAGAATCCGGAGAGACCATTGTCAGACCTAATTAATTTTTATCTTTCATTTTCTTCCGTTCCATTAATCTATTTTCTTATCAATGATCATGCACATCTTCTTAACGTGCCGAATGAAATGCAATAGAAGCATAACAACATTTATAACATGAAAAAATATATTTATTCAAATCGGTTGAATCGATCGAGCAACTTATATTATAATTAGCAAAGATTGGCAAGATAATGTGTACGAGATGTGTATTGTTGTCTCGAATTTAATTTCTAGAATTGTAGACGTAGAAAGAGAAAAGGGAGATATTGTTTAATGTAGGAAATCTCTTTCAATTTAATCGTAGAATATTATTTAGGATTGAGTTTGATTGCGGTTCTTTTTATATATGTAACATGAGAAAAAAAGACATCAAGATATCACAGTTGCTAAAAACAAAGATACATGGTCATGCTTAACGAACAAAAGGAATGGTCGATTGATGCGGAACTCGATGGGCTTCGGCGGTGACCAAGCGCTGGAAAGAGGCCTTACACCAACACCTGCCACAAGCAATTAACAGTGAATTACAACGGTTCAGCCACAAACACGAAATTCGTCGGAAAACAATTATACCTATTATGTACATGTATTTCTACCGAAGATACTAATCATGGTACAAAGTAAACGCGATAACAGTTAATACAAGAAATTTAACCATATGAAACCGAGAAAAGGAAAAATAGTTAATAACTTCCTAACGAAGCCTCGGTCAACAAATTGGTATTCTTGATTTTCGTCATATTTTTACCTCTAGAATTTCCCATTAAAATTTTTCCTATAAGTGGCCGACACGCCCTGTATACAATATGTATAATATAATACATGTAAAGACAAATGATATGGGATATTAGCAGCAGCAAATCAGACATAAGCGAGCATTTCGAAGCATTTACACACTCATACATGTCCAGAAAAAATTAAATAATAATAATGAAATAATAAATAATTGTTCAGTTTTCTTCTCTGCACACTTTAAAAGTAAAAGAACATCATAAATTAAGCAAAATATTAGTTCAACTAATAATGAATGTGTTCGTTAAATTATTATCATTGTAATTTTGAAAGCGAATGATGCACAGGAATAATTAATTAACATAGAATTAAAAAGCTTGAACAATGATTGAAAACTTGACAGTTTTGTCATATTTTAAAACAACACTATGCTTAACTTTCACCCGAATTCTGCAAAAAGAAACGGTTATTGACTCACCAGTGGCAGCAGCAGCTTCACTACCTTCTTCGTTCACTTCGATAAAAGCCTTTTGTATAACTTTGCTCACAACCAAATTATCATTAGCAATGCCGGAAAAATTAGCACGCGCAGTGAACATATCGGTTAAACCCAACTAAATACAATACAAATTAAGAGCATATCAAAAAGTACTTATTTTTATATAGTTACATTATTATAATACAACATACCTTTTGTAGAACATTGTTCAGCTCTATTTTGCTTTCGATTTTAAATTTTGGCAAACGTAATTGCACATCGCCTTTAAATCCTTCGTTCAAGACATCGGCAATATTTATATTTTGTAACTTCTTTTCAACCTCCGATAAACCATTAATTTCATTTGGAAGAATTATGACCATACTCAATTCATTTCCCTATAAAATTCGTTTCTTTATCTTTCTATCTTAACAATTTTTTTCTTTCTGCCATATACATATGTAATAAGGAAAGTTGGTTTTAAACGTTATCGATTCGCTGAAAAAATTACCTGGTATGGTATTTCAATAAATTTCGCGTTCAAATGTGGGAGTTCCCCATACTTATAGGAACCTTGTCTGTACATGGTAGGAACATTTTTCACTGTATTCTCATTAACGTGGAATGGCATATCCTTAGTATGCTCGGAATTAAATTTATTTTTCCACTGCCCCTTGAAGTATACTGCATTAACAAGTACTAATGCTGTCATATCATTAAGATCATCTGTTTAAAAAAAGCATACTCAATAAATTTCAAGTTTTTTCATTTATTCCTGTAAAATGTTTATTAATTGCAAACTAGAATTCATTACATTTAGTCATTTTCTTTTCTCTGTAGTATAATAATATTGTATACATAGAAAACATAGTATAAATACTTATAAATCTAAAAAAATTAATATGTAAATTTACTAACCAGAGGTAACAATGTTCTTGATGCGATCATTTGTATTTTCCTGAACCCATGTGTTAACTATGTTTGCAGCTTCTTGAGATTTAGAAAAGTTTACTGCTCGAGTAATAGAACGAAAGTAATTTTCTGTTAATTGTTGATAATTTGGTTCTATAGAAAATTTGTTTGCTACAAAGACTTTATTTGCAAGATTAAGTTTATTTTCCTTGACATTCTATAATAAAACATATACACTGATATGATATAATATAAAATTAAATTTAGTTGCGCATACATAAATAAAATAAAACATAAATTTAAAGCAAAAAAAGAAATTCATAGTTACATCGAGAGTATCGATAAGTGCTTGATAACCAGATGTACCAAGACTATCTGGAGATGGCAGATCGAGAACTCTTTTAAACTGGTTTTCTGTTTCTCCACGAGCACCATATGCAGCCATAGCAAGAACAATAGCTGCACTAAGAGGAGACATTATAAAATTGCCTGGATTCTCTTCTAACGCAGCCTGAAAAATAATTCTATTTTATAACTTGTACACTTTTAATAATTTCGATTAATGAATGAATAATTATTTGACTTGAGATCTTTCCATATTGCTATTACGTTCTCTTACCTGAAATAATGACAATGAAAATTGATTTGTGCCTTGTGAAACAGCAGATAGCGCTTCGTTGCAAGCCGCTTTTGTTGCCATTGCTATTGAAATATAGCACACTACCAAAAGATGATTTCCTTTAATTGAAACAAATTCGCGTATAAATTCTACGTGAAAATAATTAATTTTCTTTCGACAAAAAGTTATAATAATTATTAAGGTAAATGTTTACTTTAGTGGCCCTTTCCTAATTTTGTTTATTTTTTAGCTTTTTAACTTTTTTCAAAAAAGGCCATATTTTAGCCCCGATGTGTTTCGAAAAAACACGGCAAGCGGCGATCGTTTGCAGTGGGACGCGCCTACGGCACACGTACATAAGTACATAAGTACTTACTTACTTACTTACAAGCGGAGTGAATGTTTAGTACCAACAATGTTTACAAATATCTGGAAAACTGATGCCGAGCGAAAATTATTGTTCAGACAAATGATGTTCACAATCTCGTCATCTATAACATACTTGAAAATCGTCAGGATCACTCTACGCATACACTGCAGTTTCTTTCAATTTTAAGTCCTTTTTTGTCAAACAAAATGCAAAAACGCATTACTTTTTCACTTTCCCCTAATCTATATTTCTTTATAAAAATCAGATGTAGGTTTTTATGAAAAATTCGAAAAAAAATAAACAGATTTAGAGCAAAGCCACTAACGTAAATATTTACTACAAATGCTTATATTGTAAATTTTGTTATAATAAACAAAGATGTGAATGACAAAGGATTTGGTTTAAAACTATCTACATATTTACATTTGCCCAAATAGTTTCGTTTGGTATTGTATGTGGCCGGTTCTACATGACGTATGTAAATCATAATCGGCAGTCTCTGTATCCTTTTAAGAGTATCGTTTTACATATCACATAGAATCCATAGTAGATAAACATTTTGTTGGTGTTTTGCAAACGAGAGTTTGCAGAAATATCTTGAAATTGTTAAGTTTCTAGGAACGAGAATTTTAAATCTTCGATAGAACACGGGACGTTTCTCTGTTTTTTTCTTTTTGCCATTTTGATTATTTTAGCGAATCTACATACATATGAAAGCAGCACTCACGCCTTTCTGTATTTCCGTCCACATGTTCAACTCTCGAATATATGAATTAACCGATTCACTGTAATGTGTACAAGCTTTCATATTTACACTACAGCAAATCGATCATTGGCTACATCTCAACTGTTTTACGGTCTTACGTAATACAACATACATACGTGTACACGATAAAATTATTGATTCGGTAAATTTTCACGACATTCAGTTTTATCAATGATTGAAACGACAACCGTATTACGTATAATAACATGAAGTACGATTAAATTAAGTAATAACAAAATCATACCGGAATTCAAATTTTTTTTGGGGTGGGAAAAATCTCGGAAACTAAGGGCGATCAACATTAAATGGACAAAGGAAATTACGTTAGACTATGTTCTTGTGCGCGTACAACTAGAGTTACACGTATTTACATGTACATTTAGAATTATAAGTTTACTGTTCAGTATTAATAAAGTATAGTGTTTATTTATGTATACCACGACCACGTGCTAGGCAAATCTCGGCAATTAACAAGTTTGTACACCATTTGATACCATTTAACTCGATGTATGTACTCGAAGTACGTGGTTTTTTCGCGACCTTTGTAGTCGTCGCGTTCTCCGGCCCTTGTGCGGCAGGGCCTTAAGGACTGGCACATTACAAGGTGAACGGGTCAGCGATACAAGCTGTATCGCCAAATAGAATTACCATATAATCTTGTACAGAAAAATTTCTCTTCAAACGTATAAGAAAAGAAAATTTGACAAAAAAGTACAAGTGAACATGATACAAATCCATTAAACAGTAATGGTATCACTTGGCAGACCACTCGACTTACACAAGTTCTTGGATCGTTATGTACATACTTATCGTATTATATCGGCAAATATTAACTACGTTATTAATTATTTTACAAACAACGATCAATCATATATGTACGTAAACAGCCGAACATAAGATATTTTTCGTTTCTCCATTTATCAATGAAGATAATTAGTGAATAACACGCGTCTTTGCGTTTTACTTTTTTCACGACCTCAATATGCACAGGTACCTTTTTATCGACTATAATCGGACTTGCTCGAAATACTAGAATTCTTTCATGTTACGGATGTCCGTTCGACTTTCTTGAGCCTGGCTCAAGTCCGTAATGCCGAGTACCAACACATCCCTACTTACAATTAGTATGCAACACCCCATACATAGTTTCAAACTTCAAGGTCCTCGGGTTCATTGTTGGCGAAAGGTTAAAATACCGAAGGACGAATACGTGAAATCATTAACGAATACCGAGACAGAATATTAATGTATAAATAAAAGCAAATTGTAAATTCTAATCGATTTATTTTACTTTAAACCAAATATGTTTATAATAAACAAAGATATAATTTACCTCTTGTTATTTTTGTTGCGTCTTATGACGCGATCAAATGGAAATACCAAGAAAGGGTATTCATTTCTAATGCATACAATACATTATAGAATTTTTTTCTTTCTCAATACAGTTGTATTTTTCAACTATTTCTGTTTGTTAACCCAAGCTTTCGGTTTACTTTAGTGCCAAAAGTTACGATTGCTTTAAAATATATCGGAAAAGAAAAATTTACGATCAAAATGTTCAATACATATGTACTAATTATGAGAAAGTTGAAATTTCAATGTAAATTAACAATTGTTACAAAGAATTTCTAGCCAAAGAAAATTCAATAAGTTTCACAATCCGTTCAGTTGTCAAAAGTAAATGGCGTACTATTTAATTTTAAACAGAAGCTACGATCCGGTCCGGTTTATCATTAACCTGTCATTATAGCATATACATAGCCATATACAACACACGAATTACTCACGTGTACACATGTGTACTGTCTGGTTCTGTCCTTTCTACACGTTAATCTTCTTTGAAAGTTAAACGTAGACTGTAAGAAGAAAATACCGATTCAATATAAAAGCACGAGAAACAGCACCAGGAAAGTTTCAATAGTAGAAAGAACGAACCTACCAAAGATTGTAACGAATGAACGAACCAATCATCACGAAGCGCGTATTCTATTCACTGCATGGTCATATTTGTTGATCTTTGGTTAACGAAAGTTACGAATCATTCGATAGAAACAGAACGATGTTAGCGATATCGATGTTATCCAATAATTATCTTACTTTTTCCTATTCTTCACGGAAGAAATAAAAAATGTAAAAAGAAAATTTAATCTGATACATTATAAAAGTTTTTTCTTAATTGCAAAAACACTACATTATTAATTAAAAGTTCCAGAATCGTTGGTGGAATAGATCGGTTAAAATATACATATGATTATAGTTTCGTAGCGACTTGGGGAAACAACAAATACCACGGAAGAACATGCGTCAAAACATTTCGGGCATAAATTTTTTGCCGTAAATATGGTATCGATTATTTTATCAATTACTTCTGTTGTTTATCATTTAACCTATTTAACAGATTTCTGCTGTCGGATTTTGTTGAGAGTTTTCCGTTCTATGCTCACAATGGTAACAGTAATCTGTCCATTGTATGCAAATACTATTCGTAAAGGATTAAATTCTACATATGTATTTCACGGCGAACTGATTTCTTAGGAATACACGTTAAATGCGCCCAATTCTCCTTTGTGCAAACTTTTAACTGTTGAGCAACCACATCGCTAGATGGAGCGAGGATACAGACACGCTTTTTTTTTTCGTTCCTCAGGATTCATTCAGATGTTACACAATGAGACCATGCTCTTTGGCTTTTTCTTCCTTCTGATTTTACTAAAATTTAGTTTTATTTTTAGAAATAATTAAACAACCTAACAACATCGATAGAACTTTTTTCTCCCATTTTTTCGATTGTTCCGCCGAACAATTAAAACAGCTTTAATTAATAACCAGTGAATAGCGAGACATAAGTAAGTTTTACGATTGGTAAGAAACGAAACATGACAAATCCATAAATACCTATAATGGTTGGCGAAATAACGCAACAATTTCCTGCACGGCTCGGCTTACACCCGGAAACTATTTTCAATTCTCAAAACTGATGACGTAAAACTCTAAAATATCTTGCTTATCGTGTGATCTGTACCAAGCCTGTTCATTCGTGTCATAATTTCAGTGCACACGTAAGTACTTTGAGAATATACAAAATCGATTTTTCAAACACGAAGCTTCGAGTGAACAAATTTTATTCCATATTTTCGACATACTCTTTCGCATATAATCACTCCATTCTTGCATCGTATAATTTATATTTCTGATATGTTTGGTAACAATAATATTTAATAATCGATATTTTTCGCAGCTTGCATATTCATTAAAAAAATAAAGAATCATTATATCTTATGTTATTATACATATACATATAATATACATAGATAATATTACAAAAATATGTTAAAAAGTATAAATCTTACCTTCTGAAAACTAACTGTTTAACGGCCCCACACTTCAATCGTATGTATACATATGTATAACGAACGCGGCAAGTTGGAAACTGATAGCGAATGTGCTGACCATACGTATTGACAGGCTACGGGACGATAAGATTATACACGTCAGGGCTCGTTCTCAAAATTGTAACTGTAGACTGTAGTTCTCTTTCACTCTCTGCCATGCGTTCTCAATTTCTCATACGCTACTGCTACTTCAATCCCGGGGTTTCCCCCTTTCTCTGTTCCGACACTTGTATAAGCTTCCTAGATGGCACCACCGATCCACTCCTCGTACATACACAGGCACAGATGCAGGAAGAAAACCATTACATATGTATATCTGTAACAAAAAGGAACAAAATGTTATGTTCATAAATTTTTTTGTTTATTTAAAGAGATATGTTTTTCTATTTAAAAATATAGATTATAATTTAAGTTTATTTGATCTCTAATTATTTATTAAGAAAAATTCAAACACATTCGAAACTTTTAAAATGTTAAATTCATTTTCAGTTTTACTACACTCGTTGCAGCGAGAGAAAATAACAACGCGTAATTCATTATTTATTTAGTTAGATAATTTTGCATTTTTATAACTATAGTTATATCGCTTTGATACAGTTTATTCGAAATATATTTATGCTTTCTCAAAGTATCTAGGATCGATGGTTATATCGCGAAAAGCTGTATTTCTGTCGCAACATTTCTCATTGTCAGGATTTTTTTGACAAAGATCACAACCACACGTTGGTTGACGACGTGGTTCTTGAAATCCACTCGTAGGTGGGCAAGGTGGTGGTTTCGATTTCATCTCGCAACAACAGGGTGCACACGGATCCTATAAATATTTTTCGATAGAAGCATTTTGTTATTGACGAATTTAAAAATAATAAATATGCTGGAATAAAAATTTCGAGAAGTCAACATAAGATTAAAGAGAGCTAGCTCTGTTTGTGCTTCTGCTATCCTGCAGGTTGTCGAGAACCAAGAAGAGAATGAGAACCAAATGGGCAAAGATACGATAACGATAATCCCTCAGTAGTGACCTTGAAGCTATCTACTGTTCTACCTGCATTTTAATGACGCAACAAGATTTAACGGTTGGACAAATTTCACTAGGAGATGTGTATGGTATTTTTTTTTTATCCGCAGTATCAGCGTCGTCTAAACCTTTGTCCAATGATTTTTTACTCTCTTCAATTTTCTCTTCGGTTTTCTTCTTTTTCGGAGGACATGCTGATTTAATTTGATTGATATTCCAATTAATCCCAGAATTTACTAAACAAATAATAAATAACCTGAGAAATTTCGGAATGCAATTCGTTTCTACTTGGTTATAAAATAATAACTATTGTTTACCACAACCAAAAAGTTTACCCAATGTAGACCTGCATGGACCATCATCGGTCATAATTTACGTTTTAATTTTTCAATATGATATTTTACAACTATTAAAACGATCTTATCTATAATTTCGGGAATTTTTTGAATAATTTAGATGGTTCTATTGTAAATACGAGTAACTGACATTACAAATAAATTTAGGTTAACTTAAACATGTATATTATGTACTAGATGTTCAATCGTTATTTATAAATATGTTCATAATTGTTCGGATATACATTCGTATATATGTACATATAGGATGGCATATGGCATATGGCATATGGCATATGGCATATGGCATAAACATCTAGCTCGTTCCATGAGATCACGCGCAGAAGAAGGCGGGTGAATGAACCTCGTACGAAAATCCTAGATATGTTTAGGCGTGCTCGCCGAGAGATGCCGTTGTGTGGCGAAATTCTCTGCAATATTAAAAATATGAAAATTTCAATGTCACACGGTTTTTTATTATTTTTGTAGGATTAAAAAATTTGTAAATAATTCAAGTAACCGTTATTAAAATAAAAAATCGATCATTGGTAATTTTGTTCAGGTAAATCAGCTTGCGCGTCTAACTTGATTTTGTCCAATCAAAAGTCGAAGGTTGCTTAGCATTTGTATAGTATCGAGAAATGTTTTGCAACCGGTGTAATATGGACTATGGAGTATACGTATGTATGAAGGTATATGAGAAACGATTGAAAATGCCTAAGAATGCTGAATTGACGTATAGAATAAATGTTAAGATTTGAATAAATAAGTATATATGCATATTTTGTTACATTCGATATATTATCACGTATTCAGTAGCGGTATAAAAGCATGCGTCTCGTTTCGACTGACAGTACATTAGTATATATATTGATTATGTAGCGCGTGTTAGGTTATGCGGTAACCGCCTTACATTTTGACGTTTTCTTTTTCACGTCTGAATAAATTGTTGGTAGTTCTGTTTGAGATAATAATCTTTGTTTTCGATTTACGTCTGCATTTTTTTCATCAACATTTTTATAGTACTTTAAATACGCAAAAATGTCTTTCAATTTACAAAAACATGTTCAGTCTCTGTTTAAACGAAATTTTTCACGTAATTTCATTGATTCTATACATATTAAAGATAATAATTCGCGACAATTTAATCAAGCATCCAGCACATGCTTTTTACATTCTAAGACAAATACATCCATCTCGGAATCTATTAGGTAAGTAAGAATCTGAAAAATTTCATGTTAATTAAGAGCCATAAATGTATACATAAATTGAGAAATATAAAAACGGAAATATGTTACTACTTAGTTTTGAATACATTACACGAGTATCCGAAATTATCAGCGTCTAATAGAAACACACCTAATAATATGTATAGTAACGATAGTTGATTGTTCTCTTTATGGCAACGAGGCATATACAAATTTACGAAATGTTTATTAAAATTTTACACTTCTGTACTATAAATAAATAAATACTTGTACATATATTAAATACATGCTTCTTATAAATTATAAGTTAATGTCGAAAAATGTTATTAATGTTATATTGTATGCATATGCCTACATAGTATATTTATTGAAACTAATCGAATAAATATATTTTCAAGTAGAAAAGTCATGAGAATGGTAAATATTAACATATTTATTTCTGTTATGCTAAAAGTCATAATGATAATGAAGGTAATAAAGGTTGTCGTATTGTAATTATTTGCAATTAGAATTATCGATGTACGCCGATAACAGTACAAATATAAAGAAAGAAGTAAAGATTTACATACGTAGGTGTAGTATCGGTGCACGTATCTGATCGAAAATATTTTCTAACTTTCTTATCGTAGAAATTATAGGTTACGAACATCTTCATACTTCCACAACATATTACTTTAATTTATGTGTACTTGTTCGGAATTTTGATATTTATATCATCGATTAAACAAAACTCTTAGATTTACTTTATTCATCGACTCTCATTCAATTATTTAGTAAAATGAAACGTAAAGATTTTCAAAAATCATTTAGATATCGGTGTAGGTTCGTTATGCTTGGAGTTTCGGTAAACAAATATTTTCTATAAATTTTTATCTATTCGTTTGAAGCTAAATTAAATACGTAAATCCACTAACCTGTCACAAATCCTTAAATTTGTTGAAATTAAACGTATTCTAGATAATGCACGGACAGTGGGACAATATTGTTTTTTATATTTTTGTTTGAACAATCATATCGATGAAATTTTGTTTGGTCTCGTCAGGTTTGCAATGTATTATCGTTTGTGTTCCTCGATGCGTTATCGCTTTTAAAATCACTGTAATGGATGCACTTATTGTTGAGCCCGATTCTTCTTTATCGCTCTATGGTTTTATATTTTATGGTCTTGTAAATTTGTTTCATATTTATTGTATATACATATGTATATGTTAGATACAGAACAAGATAAGGCAAAAATAACCACGCTGAAAATTGTTCTCAGGGTTGGCCGAACACCCAAGTTTTATTAAAAAGTTCCGAGATAAATAGAAAAAGGGAAATAAGGGAATAATATTGTATACTGGGATACAATGTAAGAATAGATTAGCAATATTTACATTTAGTCCGTTTATGAGAATCGTGTTTATTATCTGAAATTACTTCGAAGGTAATTTTCACTGATAACGTTATTTTTTTGATCGCAGCAAGTAATGCGTGTAAATATGCGTATCGTACCTTTTCCAGTGCGCGAGGGTCATTCTTCGCTATTTCTGATACAGAATCGTTTGCCAGAGATTCTTTTGACAAAGTATCTTCTTCGAACGTGGACATGTTACGAAGTATAACTAAACGTGTTGGCAGATAAACAAAACCACGTCATGTAAAAGCATTTTATCATTTACGTGACAATTGACTGACTATAGTAACCGTTCCATGACTGACTATGTACGTTGACATGTGCTTTCTATGTATACGCGATGCAACACAAAAAAACTGACAGAGTACAAAAGTATTGTACGCTTTATTTGTACAATCTTTACGATATCTATAACTATATATAGTTTAAAAATACACGAATTATTATAATAACCATTGATTATAACACCCCACAGAATCGATCGCACGCTAATTCATTTTGAACGTAATGTTGCTTGGATCGCACTGTTAGGCGAACTTTGCTAGTTAACCTTATGCCAGGGCAAAAATGTTTGCTTCATTCTATAATAATTATAATGATTTATATTGATCTTTATTTTGGTCAACCAAAATTTTCTTTTCTTTTTTTCTGCCCTCTCTTAAAAATGTTTGCCCATCGCTGCTTTGGACCAAGAGCGAAATAAATCTACCTAGGCGTTTTTTGAATTTGTTACGTCGAGCATTATCTATCGAGTACATGCATATTTTTCTTTTATGAAGCAATAAGAAGCAAGCTACGTAATACATAATACATAGAGTTCGATAATAGGTACGCTTCAACTACGACCTTGCTGTCAAATTCTTCATTGTTGTTATTGCGTAAATATACAGGATAAATCACACAAGGTAGTCACACACAGGCTGCTTTTTTCGAAGAAATAAAATGTAGTCAAGAGATTTGTCAAGAGAATGTAGTCAGGATAAACGTGACTGTTCCACGTTTATCCTGAGAATACTGTAATTTCCGAAAATGAATTCAACGACCGTTCTATTTTCTGATTAACGAGCATTATTAAAACTTTCATTCTTCAGATTAACGAAAGCTGCCGCGAGAACATTGTATTACATTCCTCATTCCACATTCGTGACGAACAAAGATGAAAGTCGGGAATTGATGGCTGTGTGGCCAGACATTGTTCGGGATCTCACAGACGCTGGTCGTAATTTAGACATACCGGACGTTACAAAATGGACAGCGAAGGTATTCTTTCTATAAATTGAAAATTATCACGTAAAAGTTTATTTATACCCACGTAACGAGCAAACTGAACAACTACTGTGTCGATAATATTTTTCTTCATTATACATGCAAAACTCGACGCTGAATGCACTTTGCTCGATTGCATAGTCGTTTGAAAAAAAAGAAAACTAATTTTAATTAATGGGATTGGTGAAAGAGCACGATATTCTTTTTCACTTGCCACATGCAATGTTTATACGATTTATTACCTAAACAAAAACATATGTAGAATGTTTAAAACTTATGGAACAAATATGCAAATTCTCTGCATAAAAATTTCAATGTTCGTTCAACTTCGGATGCTCTGTGATTAATCCTTTCTTATGTTTTTCTAATTGTTTATTCTAATAGTGTAACGCGTGAGAAAAAAGATTGTTTCTTGCTAGAAAAATAAAATTATTTAATAATAAATGTTAATCAAGTGTATGGTGCTTTCCCATTTTTAGGTATTGCAATATAATGTTCCTACAGGGAAAAAAAATAGAGCATTAGCGGTTGTACATGCATACAAACTATTGGCTTCTCAACATCAGTTGACGGACGAAAATTTACGTTTAGCACGAATATTAGGCTGGTGCACAGAGTTGGTATGTAATTTTTCATTATATTTTACATTGTTTTCAAGAATAATTTCAATTTAATTAATATGATAAGGTTGGAAGAAGAAGGTTGGCTAGAAAATGAACAAGAGAGAGGTGGTGAATTTGTCTCGATAAACGCTATCATGTTATTAACAAAAAAATATATGGTACCCGCGGAGAAAAATTTTAACGAGCGATTCTAGAGGCCAAAATAGGACGAAAATCAAGAATACCAATTTGTTGATCGAAACTTCGTTAGGAAGTTATTAAAAAAATTATTAATTAAATTTCTCCACCTACGCGAATTTTTTTCTCGAAAATGAGTAGGATTTCGGGGGTATGTCTATTCACCAAAAATGATTGTAACTGACCCCCGCAGCCAAAAATATTTTTTCCAGAACGATTTGAAACTTTTTTTCCCCCCCCCCCGTGAAAATTCTCCGCTCGAAACGTTAATAACTTTTTAACGAAGCCTCCATCAACAAATTGGTATTTTTCATTTTCGTTTCCATATAAAATACTCGAGAAATATTCTATTACAGTTACAAGCATTCTTCCTAGTAAATGATGATATTCAAGATCAATCAAAAACTCGTCGCAATCAACCATGCTGGTACTTACATGGTGAGATTGGATTGACAGCTGTTAATGATGGCATGTTGTTGTCAGCTTGTTTATATCAACTTTTGAGATTACATTTTAAATCGAAAGATTATTATGTAAATCTTCTAGAACTATACCAAGAGGTGAGCAGCAAATTTCTCTACCATTGAAATGTTTTAATGACAGTTATTTCTATATTTTAATATCTTCTATTCCGTATATTAATAGAAATTTTTAACTATCTTCGTTCGAATCATTTAGCCAAAATTTCAATTACAATTTTTTCTCTATAGATTTTTTAATGGAAGGACACTATGTTTTCCATATACATGTATTTCTGGTGAAATTTATCTCGTATAATAGACTCTTGATTACAGACTACATTAAAAACGGCATATGGCCAGTGTCTGGATATATTATCAACAAACTTTGGGAAAAAACCAAATTTAGATCTCTTTACAATGGACAGATACAATTCGATTGTTAAATACAAAACATCTTACTATACGTTTATACTACCAGTTACATCTGCCATGTATCATGTATGTGCAATTTATTATATAACTTTAATACGTAATTTATAAATTTGCATGTACATGCTTTTTAAAAAAAACGTTTAAACTTTTTCAATTCTTGTTACGTAATATGATTGACGTAATTAATAGGCTGGTATAAAAGATCCAGAGATGTATAGACAAGCAAAAACCATTTTATACGAAATGGGTCACTTTTTTCAAGTTCAAGATGATTATTTAGATTGTTACGGTGACCCAGAAACTACTGGTAAATATGGTACAGATATAGAAACAGGAAAATGTACGTGGCTTGTCGTTGTAGCCTTGCAACGCGCTACACAAAAACAAAGGAACATTTTAGAGGTAAATGTGTGTTATCGATAAGATTTTAATTTCTTTATCGAGTCAGTTTAAATATTAATAATTTTTGCTAACACGCAGGAATGTTATGGCGTCTCGGATATAGAAAAAGTGAATCGTGTTAAACAACTTTTTGACGAGATAGGTTTACCAAATACCTATTCTATTTATGAAGAAGAAACGTACAATTTATTGCACACGCACATACAACAGATATCGCGTGGACTTCCCCATGAACTCTTCCTAAAATTATTAGAAAAAATATACCGCAGAGTAGCTTAATACGATTAACTACATAATTTAAATAGACTGATTCATTTCTAACTTTGACAAAACATACTTATGACGTGCTTCCTTTATTCTATAAAGTTATATATTTCACATATGTTAGGAATTTATTCATCAAGGATAAAACGAACCAATAGTAAATGCATTTCTTTTCTAATAACTCTATGAATATATACCGTTAAATCGACAAAATTCGTTCTAACATACGTAACGTCAATAATGATTTAAGCAAACAATGTATTAATAAATCTTAATTTCATATTAAGAAAGTAGGATGATATTTTATACAGTATACACATATTACATATACATATATATATATATTCATAAAATTTTATTTTTTCTTTCCAGAAATATTTGTATAAATTTTATATTCATATTTATATGTTTGAAGGATTAAAAAAACAATTAAATAAATCTTTTAATTTAATTCCCTAACGTTTAATTTTTCTTTTACGTCCACCTGGTTGATTTCTCTTTATATTTCTTTGAATTTTTGAACGCATAATTTGTTTTAATTTCTGTCGGAGATTGCTAAAATTTTCACCCGATTCAACTCCTTCGGAGAAAAATTTTATTGCCTCTGAAATTTTGAAAACATTAATATTTGTTATATTACCTCTTATCGCAATTTATTAATGGTATAATGAATATACCATTAAACCGTGTATCATTGATGTCAAAGAAAAAATTATTTGTCTCTTTAAGCATTTGATCGGCTGTACATTCAATCTTTTTTTCCGCTTCTTTATTCTCCTTCTCATCGTCAGAAGAGTCATACTTGAATGGATTTTTTCTATCAAAACTAAATTGAAATTTTTTTTCTTTTCTGGAGTCTATGGTGGACATGTTATATTCCGGTTCTTCTAAAAGTATAGAAAACATATAACAATAGCAGTTATTATAAATGTTTTTTAGGTATTTTAGGTATTATAAATTTAAATAGTTATTATAAAATAAAATTTCACCGTTTTCGTTGGTTTCTTCTTTCGGACACGTTTTTAGTAAACTAAACTGGCCTCGTTCTTTCAAACTTTTTGTTAATGATCCTGATACTGAAAAGTATACATCTTTTGATACTTCTGTCTGTGAATTTTCAACAGTATTTTCATTGTTCTTGGCTCTTTTTTTCTTTTTAACATTTTTAGTATCAACTTCCGACTTTTCTGCAATAATTTCATATTCTTTATGATCGCTTTTTGTAGGATCGTATCTTATCATTTGTTTTCTGAAAAGGTTTTTTTAGCATAAAAGTTAGACGCAATAGTATTACTACAGTGTGTTACTGGACGAGTGATACCATCGGGTAGTCGGTGATTTTCACACGCGGGTGAACACATTTACAAATTCGATTTTCTCGCAAACGAAACTTGAAACGGAAAAATGTTATTCCTTTTTTTTCGACTTATTTTCGTACATAGAATCACCCTCTGTCCGATAGTACCACCCGTTCGGTAACACCCTCTACATATATCTGTTGTATATTATTTGAATATATACTTGGGAAACTTTAAATCCTTGTTCATTTCTTTGCTTTTCGAAGCAGTCTGAATCGGTACTCCTAAAATATTTTCTAAAATATCCATTTGCCATTCTTTTTCCTTTTGTAAATCAGACTCATCATTATTTTCTGTTATATTATTTTTATCTAATACATGATCATCTTCCATGAAATGTTTGTCAATTTTAAACCTTTCGTCGTTTCCTAAAGTAATAATTTCTTTACGAGGCTACAATTAATAAGCAATTAATACAGACTATTATAGTTGGAAATTTGAAAAAGAATAAATTTATCTTACAACCTTTTCTGTAATGTCAAATTTACTATCATCCCAAAACGATTCATCATTGTCTCTATCATCATCATCATCATCATCATCATCATCATCATCATCATCATCATCATCGTCGTTGAACAAACTATGCTTCTGGTTTCGTAATTTTTTTTTAATTTTAGGTTGATCCACTTTATCGATATCTTCATCAAATATTATTTTATTATGATTTGACTTATTATCCTGTACAAATAAATATAGAAATATGTCACGTTGAGTAAAAGCAAAGAAAGTTTCACGATATTAAAAATAGAATATCTACCAAATTCTTTAATGCATTTTGCACCATCAATTCTTTAGTCCTAAATGCTTCTTTCTTTTGCTTCAATGATTCTAGCCGCTTTTTTTCCGAGTCATTAATACCATTTGTTTTAACTTCTTTATATTTTACAGTATTCATCATTTTGGTTTTCTTAATCAAAGTTTTAGGTTATATTTTTTATCATAGAGTACTCCCATCCCATCCCATCGGTGTGTGTGGCTCGGCGGCCAGATCGCGCAGAATCAAGTGTATCGAGAACGACAATAGTAACGATGAATTTGCTATAGTTCGTAACGAAGCGGTGGCCACCGGGTGGGGAAAGCAGACGCATGCTATTGCACCGATTGCACCGATTGCACCGATTGCACCGATTGCACCGATTGCACCGATTGCACCGATTGCACGGGCTGCCTGCCTGCCTGCCTGCCTGTAACTTGGTGTAACTTTGCGTAACTTTGGGGAATCGAGAAAGAAGACGAGTTTTAGTCTTTCGTTGCCGCTCTCGAGACAGTTGGATGATTCGACCTCGCATCAATCCTCATACGATTTCGAGCTTTCCACTGCCAGTTTTGGAATAGAGGAGTCGGAAGCAGAAGGTAAGTAAGTAAGTATGTACGTCCGCGTCCTCTTTTCGCGGTTTCATCTCAAACAATTTACACAGGCTACATTCGCCCGCCGCATGGTACAAACGCTAGAAACCCATCACGTTCAACCCGTTGTTGAATGTTTGCCTCTTTTGAATGTAAAGAGAGATAACTATTATTCAAGTATTATTTACACATGTGTTGTTCTTGCAAGATATTTTTATTTTGCTTTCGACGATAACGGTGACATCAATGCAATTTCTTCGGTATTGTTGTCGGTATTTGTTACAATTTTTTTATGTGTCTCTGAACATTTCTTATCATGCATAGCCGCAATCGTTTCATTTTCCACCACGTTTTCCAAGAGCCCGTCTTTCGCTTCCTCTTCATCATTTGTCAAAATACCGCCTGGAAAACGTATATTTTAGAATAGGTAGAATAAAAGGAATCGAAAGTGCCGATACGAATGTAACGTGTACCATGAAACGTGCATGATATTTTATCTTCTGCGTCGATGAAGTAAAAGTATTTATCATTACCAAGAGTTTGAATACTTTGAAATATTTCGGAATTAACATGGAGAAAGCACAGTTTCTTCCTTTCTGCGTTCATATTTTTTGACAACACCTCGATCCCCTGTAACGGAATGGTGCATAAAGGCAGGAAACAGATTATTGTCTGGTTAGGTCTGGGCTAGATTAAACTTTCAAACCCGTGAATTACATCAATAATCTATACAAGTGTCACACAACGCAACAATAATTTTTTTTTGCCTCGATTGTCCAAATGAAATATTTCGTAAATAGTGAAATTACTATGTTTATACCCTTATTGCTGTGTAATCAATATTTCGTATCTTTTCGCAATTGATAACGAACAGTGCGTTATTTCCATCGTATTTTTCAACAATTTCGATGACTGTATTGCAGAAATAGTTCGCAGCAGGGTAAAGAAGCCCATCGTCTGGTTTTAGCATTATATATTTGTTCCCAAGTTGTGTCTAAAAATGTGAACAAAATATGTTTTCGTCGTGTACTTAAAGGGAACAATTATTTCTTTTGTTTATGTACTCGTGAGTTGTATGAAAAAATTATCTTTTTACCTTGCATCGAATTACTTCGATGTTTGGCCTTGCAGTCGCTCGAAGGAGAAAAATTACATTAAATAGGGCACCGGTCAAAAGTCCTATTTCCACGCTGCAAACAATACTAACTAAGAATGTAACTATCGCTGCAACCGAATCCTTTTCTGTAATAAACAATGAAAGAGAATTTTTTCCGTCCGGGGTCCGGGGTCCGGGGTCCGGGGTCCGTGGACCGTGGACCACTGTAAAGGCTTACAAGCATTTTAACACCTTTAACCGTCGAGCGAAAATTGTGTATGTATTGTATTAATTGTATTAAGTATGACGACACCTACTGCATCCATTCCAGAGTAGTTTTACTATCTTCAAATCAACCATGAAGACAACTGCGCTTATCAATACAGCTGCAAGCGTAGCGCGTGGAATGTAATAAAAGTACGGCGTCAAAAAACTTAACGCCAATAACGACATAATACCTGGAACGTTCAATCTCCTTAGTCGAGAACTTTATTATAGACAAAATATCATATTATATTTGCTTTTAAATACACCGAACTAATTTTGTTTAATTTTCAATTTAGATGGTACGAAAATACAGAACGTGTACACCTGTTTCAAACAAAAGACGAGCAGAAAACCTCACATTTATTGAAAATGTTTCAAAAAAATTCATTAAGAAGCTTCGTTAACAAGTTATTAACGTTTAAAGTTGCTATCTATCACGCGCACGCAGCTGTTACTAAATTGCCGTTCTACAGTCAGAACTTTAAACGTTAATAACCTTTTAACGAAGCCGCCTCGATCGACAAATTGTTATTCTTGATTTTCGTCTTATTTTCGCCTCTAGAATCTCCCATTAATGTTTTCCCCCGAGTATTAATGTGTATTTAATGTATTAATCCACGGTAAATATTTGTAAGGTTGAAATGGAAATATTACCAACATATATGCCAGCCATAGGTGTTCGAACACCGCTGGCGGAAACTACGGCACTTCTAGTGAACGCTCCGGTACTTGGCATAGCTGAAAAGAAGCTTCCAAGTATATTGCACAAGCCGAGTGTTAGCATCTCCTGCGTAGCATTTAGGGTTTTACCGCTCGCTAAAAACAGAGACAGTTGTTCGTTTCTTGATACACCAGAAGAATTCGGAAATTTCAGACTTGTATTCAAAGCACAATAACAAACACATGAACCCAACGACAAGGGAAAATGTTAAACCTTCTAAATGTAACTTTTCGATAGATTTATTCATTTGTTATAGCGTAATATGAACAAAGGCCTCTGTAATAGCTATACTTTTTACCAAATGCTTTGGCGATAGCTATGTTCGCTAACACCGACACGAGAGGCAATACGATTATCCCAGCCCCATAATGATAACACATATCTACGAAAGTGTAAGTTTCATTTCCCGCCTGAGACGAAAATGGCGGCAAAGACAGCTTCGGAAGTCCCGATTCTATTCTTCCTTTAAAGTGAAATAGACGAATATTAATGTATAGTCAAAATACGATGTATTGTAATAATATAGAGATAGAGATAGATATGGTTTTCGCGCAAAGTAAAAAAAGTTGCTTAAAATATTGAAAAACCACGGCAGATTGATCATCGTGTGAAACTTGGACAAGTTAAACCTACTATCGTAATGCTTCGATGATAAAATAAGGGCTCGTAAAAATATACCTGAAAGAATAAATGGAGTCGATCCTGATTTCTTTAGGTAGAAAGCTATCGTGGAGGTTATCAGAATAACCAAAGCATTGCGACCAATAGAACAAAACCACAAGATCTTCTTTAAAACGACCATTTTCTCATTTTTGTTCCTTTTGTTTTTCGCAAAACAACAATCCGTATCTTTTAGTTTCTGCGAATATTAACACATTTCCCATCTATTTTCGTTGCTAGTACGATAACTGGACAAACTTACTCTGAACGTGAGAAGGAAAGCGATGCTGCAAAGGCCAAGAGTCAGGTCCGGTATACGAACGTCTTGAACGTTCTTAACTATTTTTATTAGATCGCCAGCGACGTTGGACGCTCGAAATTTCAATCCTAATAGTCCTTGCAGTTGAGCCACGATTATAATAATCGAAGTAGCTGAAGTAAAACCCGATGTAACGGGTATGGATATAAAGTCCACTAAGAATCCTGCATAAACGAGTTCAACCTTTTCATTTACATTGCATCTCGAGACAAAAATGAACAACTACGGTAGAAGCTCGATCATCCGAACTAGTCGGGGGTCAAGTTATACTCTAATAAAATACTTGCAACGATTCGTCCCATAAACAATGCTGTTTTTTTTATTTTATAATTTATCACAAGTCGTATATTTCACTCAAATATGGCAACATATCTCCTTTAAGAGAAATTGTAAATTATTATTTCCAAAACAACATTGTTTAGGAAGAAATCTGATACAAACTAAAGATTAATGTAATCGTTTAAAGAGAATTTCTATTCTTTTTTTAATGTTTGTCGATACAAGCCTAAACGTAGTACACCCATCAGTAACTCTACACATCCAACCAGAAATGTAAATAGCACGATAAAGTCCACTGGCATGTTCCTAGTATATTCTAAAGTTAAGAGCGACATCAGGGACGAGGGTCCGATCGAAACTTCTTTAATAGATCCAAAAATAAGATATACAAAGGCGCCCATGAAGCAAGAATAGAGACCATACTGAAACGAACGCGTACAAGAGGAATCGTTAAGAGTTGATGCGACGTAACATTTCAGAGAAAATTAAATGAGTTTTTCGGGTGAATTTATGACACGCGAAAAAAAAAAAAAAACTTTAGCGTTTTAAAGTCAACGTTTACGCTTCTCTTCTGATAGCTATCATAATGGCAACGCAGAGGCATAACGAGGTATACATACAACGAAAATATATATTTAATATTTCTATGCGCAAGTTCGCCAGCTCTCAGGGCTCTCTACCCCCTCCACAAGAACTACTAGAGTAACGCAATGAAAATAATAAACGAAGAAAGAAATACTTAAGAATGTTCAAGATCCGAATGACATACCTGTGCCGTTAAGCCTGCGAGTGCAGCGTACGCGATACTTTGTGGAATTAAAGTTAATCCTAGAGAAATTCCAGCAACCAAATCCGAAATAGCATCCAACTGGGTATACTTTGGCAACCAACTTAATACAGTTACATACTTCGCTATTGAGAAATTCCGTTTATTTTGTTCTTTCGTCGACGATGAGCGTTCCTCCAACGAAACAGAATTCTTCGTAGACACTGACATACCTTTGAAATTGAATACAGTGTTTTAGACAAACAATCACGATACGTCCTCGATGATGTTAACCAAAATTACGGAAACAATTAGTACCGTCGAGCACGTGAAACTATATCGCGCACTGATATCAACACGTTGCCGTACTATATCCATGTACTGCAACACACAAATGCGGTTCTATCCGCCTATCAACATATTTTCACGGGCTCGAAATCGTTATCGCTTGATCGTGTCTCCTCCCAAAGCTCGGAGCAAACGTTTGGCGCCAGCAACAGAGAACGCTCAATCACTGGAATTCGTTGCTATCAAACTGCACCTCCGCAAACGTTTAATGGTGTTAAATAAACGAAATTGCATCGAACGTTTCAAGATATGTTTGTTTTTCCAGGTAGCGATGGATTTGAAGCACTTCGGATCAGATTGAACGTGATTGTACGAAGCTGGAACATTGATCAACGACAATTAAAATCAATGTACGATATTACGTAATATACATAATTAACAATGAAACGTACCATTTTCATCTGTTATTAATATTAACTGTTTATTGTATAAATAAATAACGTGACCGTGGTAAAAAGTGAATGAGGAAATTGACAGTTTCCCACGAAGATGATAAATATAATAAGACGAAAGAGAGCAATAAAAATATGACCTCGAATACGACAGTCTCCGGACAGCGTAAGAATTTCGTGTTGCTCAACAAGTTTTGAACAGACAGTAAATAAATACAGAGTATCTTAATCCGTGCAAAGAAATATTGTGAGGTAGCAGTGCGCAATGCGTCGTAACACGTTGACATTAAATTATTGTTCCCTGATTCTTTACGCTTCTCGCATTAATCTCCACTGTATCCAGACATAATTTATATGACATAAGTAAATACTTGATGCACGTCGACCTATTTAATAAGATTTCTAGTTAAAGACAGAGCAACATTATACGTGAGAGATTAATCATTACCCAAGGCCTCGCCTTGTTTCGTCATCTTTATTTAAATATCAACAAGGATCGCACGTGGAATGAATATACGTAGACGACAACAGCATTTTTCGTAAATCATCGTCAAAAACTTCGAACATTGTCCAATTTGTACTTGATCATGGTAGAATGTTGATCTATGGGTGTAAGTACAATCGTTGGTCAACGCATGGTATCGCGTATTCTTGCATTTCTCAGTTCTACAACACCCTGTCTTCCTGAGGCTGTAACTTTCGTGTTTCCACGCAAAAGAATTAAGTGAAACATTACACTTTGAACAAAGAAAATGGGTATCCCAAACAAGAACTGCTATTACAATTTTTAATAGCTGTAATATAATAATAATAATAATAATAATAATAATAATAATAATAACGTTAATAATGAAGATGGCGATGCTAATAACAATAATAATGATGATGATAATGCTGATAATAATAATAAATAATAATAATATTAAATGACAACAATAATTAATAATAATTGTATAATAATACATTTTATATGCAGTTTATTTCAATAAAATCTCTATGTAAAAATTCAGTTATAACATAATAACAGCGCTCCGGATCGCATCGCGGCTTGGAATTCAGGATTTTTCAATGCGATTGTTTCACAGAGTGTGTACCTTAACGCAATTTCTTATTGATTTGATCAATTTGCTCGTCGATCCTGTCGGAAACTCCACGAAACTTGTTTGGCTCTGGCCCAATCATTTGTATAAGTTGTGGTACCTCCTGGCCGCTGATTTGCGTGAAACGCGCCAATGATTTCATGCAAGCGAACAACTGTTCCTCGGCGGGATTGCCATTAAAATATTGCAGCAACGCCATCGTCAACTCTACAGCAACATCGTCGAATACCTATACGTTTCACAGAACGTAAGATGATTAGACAAAGATTATGACTGTTCGATCGTGTAGCTTGTGCGAACAGCTCATAAAATAATCAACACTAACAGGGGACATTTGATCAAATATCCGGAAACGATTTTATTTTTATCGAAACATGTTATTAAATATTAAGAGCTAAGATATGTAATAGCCCACCAAAGTAATCAAACGGTATACAGGTTTATGTATAAGATACAGTATCGTAAGAAATGATTTGTATAACAGTGCAGTTTGTTGAGCCGTTCATAGGCACGCGGCCAAATGACGACACCTATAATAAGGTTGAAGATCGTGCGGGGATTCCCGTATATTCTGAAACATTTTCGTTTGGACATACAATTTATCTGAAAATGTACTTGGTAAACGTTAAATTATACGTGTTCGGATAAGTACCTTAGAAATGCTGCCTTTTGGTAAAAGTCGCCGCAGATTTTTACTTTTGTTCATTTTCTGAAAAAACAGTATCCGATCTCTCGAAAGATATCCATCCTTGTCAACTGCAATCCGCAGTATCGTACACATGTAAAATACAGATACGAACGAGCAACGAGACCGTTTCTCTACATTTCTTCAGTTATTCTTATCGATACGATCAATTTGAAATTGTAAGAAAATCTGGTTGCTCGTTGGTAAATCGGTTACGGGGCTCGATACGGAGTTAAGAACCTCTGGTAAATTTCACAATTACAGCTGATTTATTAATAAAGGCAGCACTTCTATTCGCGAAAATAATCAAAGCGTGACCATCTCTGCTGTGTTGTTTAATTAATAGTACTAGGCGTAAAGCGTTTGTTAAGCAACATCGCGGCGAATAAGACATCTTTCCGTTTCAGATTTCCATATAAAAAATACAGGCTAGTTTTCGTTTATCCCCGATTAATTTTAGTAGTATAGTGTTGCGTTTGTTTGTTCCATCGAAGCAAGATGCGTAAGATAACGATTGCAAATGTAAGTTTAAACGTATGCAAAAGAAGAAGCTCGCTCGATTGTTAATCGGATAGGAAAGATACAGACCACAGTTTTTACCTCCTTGCAGGCAAGATTGTGGATAACAGCCGTGCCGCGAGTCTGCATGTCAACCGAGTTCGAAAGCAACGAGTGTACCGCAACTTTGGTCGTCACCCTTATATTGCTGATATTCTGGTTCTGGTGTTGCCATTCCGATATGTACAATAGCCATTCCGAACTACTTAGGTTTTCGAACATATTTGCCAACTGAGTAAATACAGAGTAAAAATGAATCGATTAAAAATCTTATTAATGCTGTATATGTATACCAATGTATAACTTTTCCAGAATTTACTTTACGAATATTAACAAGTTCCGTATTGCAGAGGGTGCATAGATACATTATATCTCTTTGCGGCACAGGAGTTCGGATAATAAAATAGACCCATGTTGCATAGAAATTTTATTGCGCTTTTCATTAAACAAAATTGCTATATTTTTTATTAATAAAGGTATCGCATAATGTAAAAACATAAAAAAATAGTAACAGTTTGATTAAATTTGTCGCAATAAACGTTCCGCTTGCAACAATCGATGAACCTTTTAATCGAAGCGTGCCCCAAAGAGGGCATAATATCCCGTTGTAAGTTTTATTTTACTTACGAATTGCGTGAGAGGCAGCTGTTCTTCCTGGGGATGACGATCAATGTCGAAAGCGTAATTCATAATAATATGTTCTCTTCTGTCCTGGTGCAATAAAAGAATCACGTCGTCTTTTAACGCAGCAACGGAAAGGATGTTCAACAATTTCACTCTTGTATCGCTCGATAGGGATTTGTCGTATAGAATTCGCCCTAAATAAGTAAATATTGTTCAGCAGGTAGGATTTAAGCGGCAAACGCATTTACTCGAACACTTACCTACGAAATTTAAGAAATTATCCCCAAGTGCCCAAGAGCCCTCGTTTTCTATAATATATTGTTCGAGTTCCTGCATGCACACTCGTTCTTCTTCGTTTAACTTTCCTTCCAATAAATTAGACAACGCCTCGTATTCCGACTTTACGTCTATTAAATCTTTAAAGACAATGGGGGGGTCACGATGACGTTTCCGTTCCTCCAGTTCCATCTTCTCCTCGTTTTCCATTTGCAGGACTCTATCGGACGGTAACATGTCTGTGGTATCTCCATTAGTGGCTTGCATCTCGCTCAATACAGCTGCGGGGATCAAACGGAAGAAAGTGTATGTATACGGAAACATATTATTTGCTCGTTTTATTATTAAAACAATAACCTCGGAATAAATAACTACGAAATGTAATGTAATTTAATTAAACAAGATACGGAGTGGGGATTGTGAGAAAAAAAAAAAAAAAAAAAAATTTGAATATACTTTCGCTTTCAGCCATGTCTGCGCAATTGCTCGGACCGGTACTGTTAGTGTCGCTCGCGGTGCTGTCCCTACTTCCTTTCTGCTTCTTCTCCTTCTTCTCCTTCTTCTTCTTCTTTTTTTTCTTCCGGTCCTTCTTCGCAAGTTTTTCGTTAAGTTCGTTTCTCCTTTCTTCTAACGCGATCGAGTTCAGCCTAGCGTGATGATGCGCATTAATAATAATAATATTCGTAGAGAAAATAATAGGATAAATAAAGTATTGTTACCTTGCTTCCTCGACAGCCTCGTTCAAAAGCTCGAATTCCGGCGAAACTTCCCTCTGATTGATCGAACCAAGGAATACTTGACCGACTGTAAATAACACCGATCCACTCGAGCTGCTGCTTAAACTCCCAATCAAGGATTTCAAACCTTGTCCGATCGGACTGCATGGAAACACGAACAACGATCAAATCATACGTATTAACAAATTCTCGCAGCATACAGTTCTATTTATCGTTTCAGCGATCTTACGTTTGAAATATTTCTTCCGGTAAATCAAGAATGTACTTCGGGATACCCTTGCCTGCCAAGAAATTGCTAACTTCCTCCGTGAAACAGTTGCAGTTGTGTTTGAAGAGATTGTACGTACCCGGGCTGGAATAAAACGAATTTCCCGAAACCGTCCAACGATAAGCGTAACGAAAAATATTGCACCGTGAACTTACGCGAACTTGGACGTTCCCAAGCCGTGTATGTATTCCAGGAATACAGAGTACGGCAAGTAGATATCACCGATTTTCTCCACCTTGTTCGGCTCCCCTAACACTGTGCCGCCCTGAAATGGAAAATGAATTCCTCAGGAGGAAACTGTACATTCGTAACCGCGTCAATGTCAATTTTACGGCAGCATCTCGAATGCTTCCATCGTTCCCTGCCCCCGCCAGCCCGCTGACCAGCTCTAGCGCACGTAATTTTAGAACCACGACAAACTTGCGCTTCCCTATAAGAAACGCTCGAAATAACTGCACCGTGTATCGGAGTTGCGCCCTCTCGTCGAACGTAGAAAAGGAAGAAACAGGAACGTCGTGAAAATGAAAAGGGGAAAAAAAGAAAAAAAAAAGAAAAAAAAAGAAAAAAAAAGAAAAAAAAGAGACCGAAACGCGGCTCGAAACAACTGAATTTAAACGATTAGCCAAAACTGTGATCGGTTCGATTCGGTAGGCGGTAGACGAACATGTTTATGGCGGACAACGTTTAAATGTTACGACAAGTTTGGAATTCCCATCACTGGATAAACGAACGCCGGCCGGCACTCGATCTCGCTTCGACGGCACCGTAAAACGTTGTTGCACCTACGTTGAAACGATCGAGGACGAACAGCTTGGATCGGCGAGCGCGGCGAGACGTTTCTCACTTCGTTTGCGTTTCGTCAACGAACCACTCGCATACGAACTGACGTCGCGGCGCCTCCGCGATTCGGCACCACGCAACCGGTAGCGTAACTCAAGATAAACGATATTCGAGTTCACATGGTAGCGCGCACGCTCTTTATCGATGCGGCTTTCCGTTTGCTTTTTCCATCGTATCTCCACGCTTATGCACGACCAACACCATCCGCCGACTGATTCTCCATCGCGGCCTCGGTTCTTGTCGATGTCGATCACGGCCAGGAAACCGGAAGCCATGCCGAGCAACACATTAGAAGCCATCTCGAACGATGGTGAATCGATATTGGAATTAGGACCAACGTGTACGGTTACGGTTATCAACTTTGACTTCGCTACACCTGAATCGTTGAGAAAAAGGAACTGCTGTTTGGTTCCGATACGACGGTTCTTCTTTTTACCGCGGCGAGAAGTTTCGAACGCGAAACCTGTACAACTGAATGTTGAAATATTTGAAATTTCGTAAGAAAGAGATCGGAGATCGGAGATTTGTCGATTTTCGATCCCTGTTTCATATACAATACATGCATACGCGAAGTAAGTTTAAGAAGATAAAAATCGTGTAATAAATCGAATAGAAACGATACGCGAAGAAACTCACCGGCCGGCAGCTTTCGCCTTCGTAGAATTTCGACGACGGACCATAGGATAGAAAGAGCCATGAGAAAGAGGGACAAGAAAGAGATTGAAGTAAGGCAGGGATTATTTTTGGAGCGAACCGGACCAAATTTAGTACCCACTCGTGTCTAGCGTATCGTATGGCCAGAATGACTCGCCACTGGCTGGCTATATAGCAACGTCGAATGGGTCACGATTCGGATAGCAGAGATGCACCCTGGACAGCCTAACATTTCGCACGGTGTAATTTTTTTTTCTACCAATAAATTCTGCTTGCCAGAATTTTATTTTCGTCCTTTACGAGCAACGGGGGACAGAAATGAAGTTTACGTTGGTCGGTAAACTTCATTTATTATCACAACTTTCAACGGCAGCTTATCTTTCTCATTTTGCGACCAAAGTTTTCGAAAACCTATCGATCGTTCCACGAACACAGGATTTAGAAACCACCCGATCGTTACACTCCGTTGCCATAACTTCCGTAATGTGTATGCTTATAGCACATCTCAACAGGCACGTCACTCTAATTGTTTATATCTTTAAAACTATCAAATTTTAATAGGAACCTGTATATTCTATTAACGTGTATATTCTTTTCCATACAATATTTTCTATACGAAAAAATTATGAACAAAAGTGGTTTTTCTTCAAGGTTTAATCTCTTTCGCGTATGTTTATTATAAAATTACTTGTAATGTATAGTCGAGGGTGTAAATATAGCGATTCTCGTAAGCGCAGCGCAGAGCCAAGACGATAGTGCGCCTAACGCCTAGAGTGCCAGCAATTCCGGATACGTTTCACGACATTCTTTTTTGGCGCTAGGACCATAAGGGGCCCTACCACGTCCCAGAAAATTCCAAAATTTTCAATCATCGAATATGGTCTTCGACTACGGTCACTACCATTTTTCTCAACTGTCTGTTTAATAAACGCCAATAATTAAAGGCAGATGAGTTTCTCAACATTCGTTACAGATCACTCTAGATAATATTTGTTAATTTCCAAAATCAAATCTTAACGTAGCTTGAAAGAAGACGAGCCAAGACGAGCCGAGCCGAGCCGAGCCGAGCCGAGCCGAGCCGAGCCCTATATTACATAGAACGGAATTAAAAGAAAATAATATACAATTATTTGTTACAATTGGTTTACTTACATATTCAACGAAACTGTATTTTGTTAATTTACATATTCGATCAAGTTTCGATGTATCACAGCTACGGCAAAGATAGTTATATCGATAACGTCTGTATACATATACATATGTATAAAATTCACTGTATAATATGTTTTTTATTAATATTCTCGAAAACTAATAAATACCCGAGACTAAAATTTAACATTTCAAACCCACTTCCACCCGAGAAATTTCTATATGTATAGTTGTTTTATAATCATATATTCATAATGTGCTAAATTAAGCGTAACTTATAATTGGCAAACGAAACAACGCAGATTCGAGAATAACACAAATATGGAATAATTTGATGGCCTTGTACAACAAACGCCAATTTTATTTCATAAAATGAGAGATTATAAGAATGATGGTTAATAAAATATACCTGTTCTTACGCTTCTGTCGTAAACGTTTAAATCAGACTTTGAATTATGTGCGAAATTAAACAAAACACTTACGTATGTTCGTATGTACTGACATACTGCTCGTTTGGACCGAAATAAAATTCTGGCAACTACGGTTTATTGAACGCAGCCCAAGCAATAAACAAAAAGTTTATCTTCTTTTTCCTAATTTAAATCGTGTATAGATATTATCTAAGCATTAATAACATCCATCGTTAATTTCTCTAAAACTGATAATAGTTTCTGAGTGTTGGTAGAGTTACTTTTGTAATTTTATAGCAGAGAATTATACTTACGGGCCTGGAACTCTGAATGCCATTTGAACAGAAGTAGTATTCCCTTCCATAGGCGACAATCGCTGTATGCCATATTCCCTCTATGTGTCGACCTACGTAGAAACCAACATTTCTTTCTTATTATTAATAATAATGTTATTTTAGATGACTGAAATAATTATCTCCGAACATGTCCAAATTGCGACACAATGCAGAACGAAAATAGTAAATAACTATGTATGTATGCCGATTCTGGGCCAGTTTGAAGGTGGGGGATAAGTAAGTAATTCATTGTCGATAAGTTCAGGGGTATTCTACCATCGATAAAGCAGATATCGTCGTGATCTCGATTATTTTCTGTTCTACTCGGGCATATGCAAATTCTGGACCAAGTCGACTTCTACTATACGTATAATGTTCTGATCAGAACATAAATGAAGAGGCACGTACAATTATTAACCTTAAAAATCTGTGTTGAAGTTGAAGTTTATCGATAAACTGCAAGCGCCTTGCCGTGTAAATTCGTTCGCTTGTTAGTTGGTAATGTACATACATACAATTTCGAGCTTGGTCGCCCGGACGAGTCTTGAATTTGTATTCGACGATTCGAGTCTCCTCCGACCTAGTTTCTCATCGCGGGAATAGCCAAGCATATCTGCGGCGATTTTCTTATTGCAACGCGTTTCTGAGAGGGCCATCGTGGCGAAATAACCGCGAGAAATAGCTACTACCGGCCATCCAACTCGACGAATTCACTACTTTCAAAACTTGTGCAACATTTCACAAATCAAGCTGACGCTTTAAGCGTTCATAACGCATAAAGAATTTCTGTAAAACGTCTCTCGAAAATGAACCAACCAATATGAACAATTTCATTGTACGGTAACTTTTTCGATACCCTTCAGAAACTTTACCGTTAGGTATTAGAACGACGATATCGAATGTTGAATTTTTGTTTATTTTATATGTACAAACAACATACTTGGAATAAATTTATTCCCCTTTTATAAACGATTTAATATCTTTGCAATTGCTCTAAAACGTTGTATCGAACACACTTATATCGATCGTACCTTCTACATATAAACTATTAATATGTATTCTTTGTACTTGCAAACCTTTCTCGAATATACTTTACTCGAACGAAAGAACAGACAAACAATTCACGTATTTATTTGTTCGCAAAAAGAATTATATGCAGTGTGAAACATCAAGCGCGTGAACAATTACGAATAGCGCTTTCGAAAATAGACTTGCAAGCTCGACTGAGTGGCGAACGAACCTTGGATGAACACATGACGTAAACTCTCACGGAGACACGAACGCGCTTGTGTGAATTTTATTTTACACATACCGTTTCTGTGTAATTTCGTACAAATTCAATCCTTTCTCCTCCCCATGCTTCCGCATTCTACAACCTATACAACTGTTCAGATTTTCCTCCAACAACCGCCACTTTCACTTTTAACTTTACTTTCAAACGCGTCGATTTTATTATTCGTCTATAGCACGAATGTATCATGGAAGTAAATTAATTATTAAAAAAAACGAGGATTCGAATGATAAGCTCATGATATTCGGAACAACGGTATTCGAAACAGTTGTTTTCAATAGTGTGAAACGTCATCGGGGAATCCTAGAGTGTATTTTTTTGGTAAAAAAAAATTTTCAAAACATTTCTTCGTTGCAATACTTTTCCTCTTTATAGGTCGAAGAGTAAAAATAGATATTGCGATATGATCATATGGCCAAATTAAACCAAAGGGTATTTATAACATAGTCGAAAAGTTGTAGGAAAGATCGAACAAGTTACCGTTAATACATAACTAATCGCTTAGATATTACAATCCTCGTTTCATTTATAATTTTCTTACAAATACCTTAAAGTTTATATTTTTTCCACTAAAATCGACATATTCTTCGTTTCGCTACAAATATTAATAACATGAACAACGAATCGTAGTAACTTTTCATCCTTGAATGTAGTTTTAAGAGACAGAGACAGAGGTTATACATATGCCACCTCCATTATTCATGACTTAAAAATACTTAGTTGTTACTGTTTACTTCGAGCGTGTGTAGCAAAGAAAGACGCAACACGTCTTTAAATAACGGTACTTCGAATTTCAGACAAAAGATGCCTTCTGGTTCTTGGTTTGTTTATATCCGATTAAGACGTGTTCAAGAAACGGGGCTTTACCGAAACAGCTGCATCCTCAACGATTTAAAATATTTTTACATAAAAAAAATTAAATATAGGTCAAATTTAAAAAAATATTCTGACTCGATGTAAGAAGAAATTACGACACGATGTAAACATTTCCTATATTAATTTACCTATAACGATTCTGGACATCGTAGCAGCCATGCCCTTCGAAAGGTCGTAAATGTACAATTCGACTGTAGCCCTGACATCTTCCGCGTTTTCCATGTCGTCTAACTGTAACACGAAAAAATACACACCAAGTAAAAAGAAAATTATCTTTAAACATTTACTACCATTTATTACCTAAATACAGATGACAGAACTTTTCAGCGAATAATTAAAGAAACGAATTGCCAAGCTTATTAGATGTTAAAGAAAATAAATCTGACTTGAACTCGTGAATTTCGACGACGGTTATAAAAGTAAATACTACAGCAAATGTTAGATTAAGTAGTAGGAAAAAATAGTTACGACACTTACGACGATTCTAAATGCAATTAAAACCGGGTGAATAAATTATTAAATAATTTGCAGAATGATCGATTAAGCGCACCCCATCTGTGTAACTTTTACATCGCGCCAAACAAATGATAGGCCAAACGAATGGATCGTGTTGATTGACCAATTCAAATCCACCGACCAATCAATGAAAAATCTAGATCGATCTTCCGTTTTCTTCGCGATCAAAACAAAAATGAATATTTCTTTAAATATTACTTGCTTGTATTTTGTGTAACTGCAAAAAATTGTCCAACGCCTTTTATATCGGCTCTGATGGATGGAACGAACAAGCCGAGGACGTAAATACACACTGCTTGCCCTACACGACTATAACCGTTCACTTTGACACGAGTTTCCTTAAAAATGTCGCGTGAACAGCGAAAATGCAACGTAAACGTGTAAATCGATCAAACGATTTCGGAAAACGTGCGCCGAGAGAGTAAAACTATTGCATACATGGTTGATCACTATCGGGCTCCGTCACTGCGAACGTACAAATCTAAATTCAACTGTCGCATGGACGTTAGAATCTGTTGTAATTGACGTTTTTCTCGTTGTGCATCAGATGGAGCGCAGCGTCTACACAAAATGGATTTCCATATAACTAATGCGTTCAATATCTCCACGCGATAGCCGCGAATCAACAGTGCATATGCGCGCATATGCACAAGCGCAACATCCATCCAAGTGTTTCAATTTATCGGTTTCCCAATGTTTATAAAACCTGATAAGTAAATTCGATGATAAAATGGCAAGCATTCATTTAATTCGCTTTACTTGAAAAACTATGAGAACGTTTCTACTGTACAGAACATTTTTTAGAACTTACGTTGAAAATTTATAAATACAAGTCCCGTTTTAAATATCTCTACATTGTTACGATAGTTCAAAGTTCGTTCTTTCTTCTTACCGCCATAACGAAATCAGACTCATCGTAAAAGACAATAAATTCTAATCACCTAAAATGCAATAAATAATAAATCATTAAATTGGTAATAAATTGACCTTGTAATTTCACTGTAACAGTAATAAATAGTAGAGTCGTTGGAACTACATAAGCATTAAAAATAGGATATAAAATTCGGATGATATTTTTTACTCGATAATCTCCACGATCTTTTCATTTTTTACACGCATTTTGAATACATAATCTGCACACATGTTTTAAAGTACATAATATATTTCCATATACACGATTCTTCCGAATAGAAAACGAACTTATAAAATTACGAGTAGAAATGAATGACGAATAGAGCAGACGATAGATTGAAGCAATGACTAAACACATTAGACAAGGTATACGAGTCGACTGAAAATTTCATCACCTACCTTATTACTGACGATGATCCGTTAACAGGTGGATCGATTATTAGAATACAAAGACAGGAATAGCGGAGAAATGAATTAACGAACGGTGAAACGAACGTTATTGCAGGATAGTTTGACGTTGGTACGTCAAAGCAGTTGAACGATAACAGCCACCGAACAGAGGAGGTACCGCGAATATGAGATCTACATATGCCTCTGGTTAGACGAGACCTAGCTTAGCAAATGCAATCACGGACACCATCCAGTATGACCAGATCACGCACAATTCAGAACAACATTAGTAACGACGAATTTGCTATAGACCCTAGCGAAGCGGTGGGGGAAAAGCATACTATTGCACCGGTCGAAATTCAGCTGAATCTAGTTAGTTATTCGATCGAGAAATTTTAAGTTATTTCGAAAGAAATATACCCTGCAATCATCGTTACAGGGAATGCTGTACAATCAATATACCTGCTAATGATTGATATCTACATTTTCCTTTTATCTTCAACGGTTCACCACCCGAAGCTGTCCGAAACGCTCGAGTTCACGTATGTACTTACACAGTACACGCAACCTGTAACAGTATACAGTATGTGCCTGGTTTTCCCACGGCTCCACTACGGGCTATAGCAAATTCATTCTTACTATTGTCATTCTTGATGCACACAATTCTGCGCGATCTGACCACACTAGCTCCATCTCATGTGTATAAGTTCAAGTCAAGGTTCTAACGCCACCTATCTTATCGACTCCTAACATCGGAATTTTTAACTAGTTTTTCAAAATGATGCCCTTGACAATATACATATTAAGTTTATCCATATCGTTATTAATAGAACAATACAATTTATTAGAATTGTTCGAATGTTAAGAAACTAATATATTAAAATCATAAAAAGATAATATCGCATCAATATCCTATTTTATAATGAAAATATTACTAGTAGCACAGTCTGATGTATACGTATTGTATAATTACTTTAAATAAGTTTACTGTCAGGCTTATTTATAACCGAAGATCATCTGGTAATTGGTAAGCATCGGCCCCGTGGTCATGACCGGATACAAATTTACGAAAGGTTCACTAACCTGCGTCGTCTCGTCTCTCTTCTACAATTCCCATCCTATAGTTCAATTATTTAAAATAAACTGGTACGAACGAAAATTACGTACCGCTAAATGTCAATTAGACTGCGTGTCGTTCACTTACATTCGAAAGGAATCCGCGTAAACGAGAGTGCTGTGAAAAATAAACGCAAGAGAGCCAATAGCACAACACGAAACAGTTCCGTGTAAGAAAAAGAGATTACTCACAGCGAATCAGAAGTGCACCGAAGGTGCTCCCTCTCACACACTATGCCAGATCACGCGTACGTGAGCTCGTAGAGTTTCGGAAAGTCGACAAAGGCAAACACCGACGCATACCCTCTTTCTCGATTCTCCGAAGCTGCCCGAAGTAATTTCGGAGGTAGCTCGTGGGAATCGAGAGAGAAAGGCTCACATGTACCTTGTACCTTGTACCTTGTACCTTGTTCTTTTTCACGGGAGGTCGGATTTTAGTTGTTAAGAGCGAGAAGGGAAATGTGAGCCTTTCTCTTTCGACTCCCACGAGGCGGTCCGAGATTACTTCGGGCAGCTTCGGAGAATCGAGAAAGAGGACACGCGTCGGTTTGCCTTTGTCGATTGTCCGAAACTCTACGAGCTCACAGTACGCGTGATCTGGCATAGTGTGAGAGAGAGCACCCGGTGCTGAATCTGGCATCTCTGCAGCGAATACGAGGTGATTCAAAAGAGTGGAAAGGTCACGCTTGTTTTTACTGCATTGTATAGTTGGAACGTACGAAAATCGGATAAAAATAAAGCACGTTTATGGTAACAGGTTGTCGAATTCATCTTTACACAGATTAAAAATTAATAACTGGCGATCGCACTGCTAACTTTCGTTCGTGTGGGGGAAAAAGGGTGCATACGTATAACATTGAAAACCAAGTGAAAACTTCCTTTATATAAATACGTACTTATCTAATTTCTATTCGTAATCGTATATCTACTTACTAATTTGTTGTTTGTTAACAGCAAAACGATCATGTGCAATCGACCAAGTTCTATTCAAATTTGTTGACAAGCGAGGACAAAGCACGGAGCTTATTAATATCAGAAAAGTAGTTTTGCACTTAATCTTCGTTTTAATGTCAGAGAATTTTTGAAGGAAAAAGCCACTAAAATTAAAGTAAAAGTGAAAAGAAAACACCGTACTCAACAATATCTTTTGGTACTTGCACAATTCAGCGAAGAGGTTAGGATACTAGACGTTGACTCAACAATTTTCTCTCATTTTCTAGGGACTTTGGTAACATTGTGTTACGATCAAGCAAACAGAACAACGAGTTGAACAGCTGATACTTCGTCGACACCGGCGAAATGTCAAAGTCCAAGCAAATTGTAAGTTATCTGCTAATAAATGAGTAGTGCTCACTGATTATTTCGTATATTCTGCTCAATCAAAATTGATTTATATTTCATTCATAAAATGATTCGTTCTCTTTATAAAATTAGTGAAAATTTTGCATTTCACGCGGTGATATTGATGTAACTTACTAAAAGTTCCCAGATATTAAGAGTTCAATTGGGTACATATATGTATACTTGCTATTCGTTTGTTTTTCTTTTACTAGTTTTTAAAACTTGAATGATAATACATACATTCAATAATATAAAACTGATACCAAAAGCACAACACTCCATAAATGTCTTTATATTAAATAGATTACAAGGTTTTGTTTATACAAGGTAGCCTTTCGTTTGTTATTTATAATATTTTCTTATGGAAACTTTTTACATTTATAGACACATTATGATTATGTTAAAATATTATTTTTTATAAAGGAAATTAATACTATTTTTTATGCACTATTATAAACGTATATTATAAATGAAATATTTGTATAATTTAATGTTTATAGAGATCAAATTATGGACTACATTGATATAAATTAAAATTTATAAATTTTAATAAATTAAACGAAAGCTATCTTGTTCCGATTATATAGATATAACCATATATTAATTTTCGTTTTTGATTTTAGACTCTACGCGTGCAATCTTCAGAGGGAACAAAGCGCATAGATGTATATCCATCTGATACAATTTTCGAATTATTTGAAAAGGTATATACAACGATTGCTATTAAACGATATTTATACGATCAATACTGTATCAATTTATAAATCTTGCGTGGTTTTAGGTTTTCGGTGCCTTTAACTTGAACAGTTTTGGATTTGGGCTCTTTAGACAATGGAATCATAAAGATGAACTTATATCTTCTCGAAGTAGAACAGTTGCCGAAATAGGTCTCTCTCATGGAGATATGTTATATTTGGCACCTCTTAATGGTGCACAGTTATGGAGTGTTCCATCGACAAGTAGTGCCTCCACTAATGCATCTCAAGGTTGTAATCATGCCCTTTGTTACTATTTTTTTACTTCGTTATTCTAGTAATCCAATTTGTTCTTGTTTTGACGATAGAATCTGAACCAACGGATGTAGCAACAATTGCCAATCGTAACACCAATGCCACTCGATTCGTACCAAATGTGGTCGAGGATGAAGTTGACGAGCAATTATGGAAGCTTGATGGTAAAATACAAAGAAAACGTGATGAGAAACTGTAAGTAAATATAAATGTATGAAACTTGTTTAGATAATATTGTATCATAAGTAACAAATTTCCCTAACAGATGTAGACATGGCGGAAACGGATGTTGCGTTCATTGTTCTCCTCTAGAACCTTTTGACGAAATTTATCTTAAGGAACAGAATATAAAACACCTGTCTTTCCATTCATATCTCAGGAAACTCACTGCTGGTGTTGATAGGTATGTTCAGCTTTATACTGTATTATGTCGTTTAAGTGCAATTTTCGTATCTTTTATAGAGGGAAGTTTATACAATTAGATGATATAAGTTGTCGTATAAAGACTGGTTGTAAAGATCATCCTCCTTGGCCACGAGGTATCTGTAGCAAATGCCAACCGAATTCTATTACTCTAAATCGTCAAACTTATCGGCACGTGGACAATGTTATGTTTGAAAATCCAAGTTTAGTCGAACGCTTTCTCAATTATTGGCGTAATACTGGTCACCAACGTATCGGGTATTTATATGGAAGATATGAAATACACACGGATGTACCATTGGGTATCAGAGCTGTTGTTGCAGCTATTTACGAACCACCGCAAGTAAGTCGACTTAAATACGGGATACAGTGATCCTTTGGAAATTGGCCGATCGCTAACCTTCGCTAGTTCTTCTAACTGGCTGTATCAAATGGCTGGCAAATATCAACGTGCTATCTATCTTAGCCGCGCACTCGTTGAAAAAAAGATACGGGATTCCCTGGAAGATCTACCTTTCTTCAACTTTGACCTGTTTCGATCTATTTCGATCCTAAACGTCGGTCAATATCCAATGCACCGCTGTAGACAGTAGGGGTGGGTGGGTGGGTGGGTGGGTACCCGGGTACATTTCGGGTTTGGGTCGAAGCACACCCCTAGCAGATAATAGGAACAGACGTAGAAACTACGGTTAATATGATTGTTTTAGGAGAGTGAAAAAGATACTATACGACTTTTGCCAGATGAAAAAGAAGCATTGGTCGATGAATTGGCTCATTTACTTAACTTAAAGAAAGTTGGATGGATTTTTACCGATCTTATAGTTGACGACGTGAAAAGAGGAACGGTAATTTACTTACAACCAATTTATATTTCTTTTTCTTTTGTACAATCAAACTTTTTCCATTTATTAATAGCATTAGTTTAATTTATTCAGGTAAAACACGTTCGAAACGTAGAAAGTCACTTTTTGTCTGCTCAAGAGTGCATTATGGCTGGCTATTTTCAAAATCAGTATCCAAATCCCTGTCGTTATTCTCCTAATAATTATTTTGGCTCAAAGTTTGTTACCGTCTGCGTTACCGGTAAGTTAATTGCATTGCGTCATAGTATCATACTATTTCAACGTATTCTGTACGAAAATAAAAATTATATTAAAAACATAAATACGCGTTGATGGTTACAGGTGACGGTAAAAATCAAGTTCACATGGAAGGTTATCAGGTATCTAATCAATGCATGGCATTGGTACGAGATGGCTGCTTGGTTCCTACAAAAGATGCACCAGAATTGGGATATGTTATTGAATCGACTGATAAACAATATGTTCCAGATGTCTTCTACAAGGTGAGTACATTGACTTTTTTTTAATCTTAACATATTCAATTATTTTCCTGCTTCGAATTCAAAATGGCAATTTAATTTGAAGAATCATTGTAAATGCGTATTGCGTTAAATGTATACATATGAGAGACTGTAGTGTTTACACCGTTTTACATCTTCCGTCAAGAGCATAGAGAAAGGTAAAGGGATGCATATAAAATATACACGAATGAAAGAGAAACAATTTATAACCCAAAATTGATTGATTAAAAGTACATTTAAATCGGGCAACGAACTTCATTTCATACATGTATAATGAAATAAAACTGTTTAAGCGTGTGCACTACGGATGTGCGCTTCCGTAGGCTACAAACAAAATGATTTCAATTTCTCGTTGATTACGCCTTAACTTACAAGACGTGGGATGTACGGCAAAACAAAACAAAAACAAAAGAAAAAGAAAAGAAAAGAAAAGAAAAGAAAAGAAAAGAAAAAGAAAGAAAGAAAGAAAAGGAGACGGAAAAGAAAAAAAAAAATAAAAAAAAAATGGAAAGAAAAAGCTTATCGAAACTTGTAGCCGCTCAACCGTTTAATTCGAACGCGAGGGGCAAGGTAAAACCGTCTGTTGTTAGAATCGATATTACAAGCTATGCGTTGTTACCTCATCACGTTCATAAAAATATATGTAGTATATACGCGCGCGCGTGGGTATTGTGTGTATACAGGTGGGCTTCTCTAGGTTCGGCTCGCTTCGCTCGGTAAACATGAATTTTTTATACGTGTCCTACATTCGAAAGTTTCGATTCAGTTGTTTTCGCACGACCGAAACGAGAGAAATTCGTTCGAGCTCGACCACCATTCATTCGATCGTCGTACCTATTACGTAATTTTACACTCTAACGGCGATTGTTATGTTTATCCGTGATGCGACGAGTCTTCATCGCAAAACGCATTATTAGCTAATTAACAAGTGTTAAAACTTTCAAGTTCAACATCGAATGAGGCTTTCTTCGAAAAAGGCATATCAGCGACGTCGAGGGCGTGCAATTTCCTACGAATACGTGTGAGTGCGCTTCGCATCGTCTCTACGCGCCGGCCGATTTACAGAACGCTTTTCGACTGTTCGCTTCTGTCGCACACGCACCGAGTACATCATGATAATATGATACATAACGATGGGATTTACGACGAGTAGTATAACGCATTACATTATATCGTACTACTTCGACATACAGCATCGAGGAATGATTCGTGTAATATATATTCACTCATTTCGTTCGTTTTCCGATCAGACGACGAGGCTTACAATCTACATAGTAGTAGTTAGGCCTTGCATACATTTCAGTGTTGAGATCTAATCTTAAATACAGTTAATTCACGGCGGCCTTCTAGACCAGCAAAGAGCAAAAAGGGAAGAAGCATCTTCGGAGTCGATCGACAGGAACATTCTCGCGCTATTTTCCGCCGACTCGCGTCCCCTTTTGGCTCCTTTTTCTTTCCTCTGGAACGGAACGATACGTGATCGTTGATTGGACGAAACGGAATTGGCCCTTTACGCACCTACGTATCGTTCGGTGAAACTTCTAAACGACCTGCGTATATGGAATCACGATTTTTACAAAGTAGTCGCGCGTTTTGGTTATAAAACGAAAAAATTCCGGCCTGTACGTGTTTCTTCTTCTTCTTCTTCTTCGTCTTCTTCTTCTACAAATATATGGATGTATGTGTATACACATACAAGTTTGCCCCCATTTTTCGTACTTATTCCTTATCTACACGTTTCTGTTTTTTTTTTTGTTTTTTTTTGTGTTTTTTTTTGTTTTGTTTGTTTTGTTTTTCTGTATTACCTACAACCTAAAACATCAGCGCCCCATAGGGCGATGCCATTCATACAGCTCTTCATAAATCCCGTGCGATATTCACTATCAACTATACGTAGCAATACGCGCCAATAGCCAAAATAAACGTCGAACTTCTTCTGAAACAAACGTCGTACAGCTAGAAGTCGTATCGATATCACGATCGATCTGAGGTACGTATTTATCGATCATCGTCGTTATTGTAGATACAGAATCTTATTGATTCCCAATCAATAGCAAAATATGGATCTTTATTTCTTCTTTCTTCTCTTATGCGTCCACGTTTAAAAATAGATTCAACATCTTTAGAATTCTATTGTTAATAGTTAATTAAATTGTGTGACTCGTACCGGAGTGTCTCGCAATTTGTGGAGCTTTACGTCGCGACGATGTCTTTCGAGTTGCAGTAATATCATTTCGGATATTACGCGTACATGATTCCTTCCACTTGAACGTTCCTTTTACCCATCGAACGCAGAGGTTAGGGGTGATACCGTCGCGACTCGTAAAATTTTAGTTATCTAGAGCAGGAGAACGTTAAGTATACGGGTACTCGGTGTACCGTTCGGTATACTAACCGCAATAGCGTCGTCGTTACAATTTACCACATTTAGTTATTAGAATATTCTTCGTAGGCTTGCCAGTCTGATCGCCAAATGTAGATATCTTCTCGACTAGCTCCAAACCTTCGACCACATGTCCGAAGATTCCCGTGAATCCGCGCATCTCTTGCAGTATTATACGAAACTGTGAGCCCACCATGCCAAGATTATCGTGCCGCTTTTGCGTTCGGCGCATTCCCACTGCACCTCTCACTGCAGGGAATTTCGTATCATCCGGCATAAAGTATCCATCTTCGAATATGCTTCTCCCTCCGCGACCGTTGTTCAACTCAAAGTCGCCCGTGATCACCGACTCGCCCTCCCAGCACTGAAAGATCGTACAACCTTTGTAACCAACTCCGACCTCGCCGGTCGCGAGCACACTAAAATTCTTGGCCATCTTCGGCGCCGCGTCCGGCCTCACTTCTATTACGATGCGCCCGTGTGGCGACCCGTTCACCTCGATGTTGAAATAATAGAGAGGATAAGGATTCGAAGGTCCTCGAAGCGATGCCGCTATTCCGCTGGACGGTGGTTGAGAGGAGGAGTGGACGGTCACCAAACCGCCACCACCGGTACCGACTCCTTCCGGTATGAATGTTGATTGTTGTTGCGGATGTAACATCGCGTTCGGTGGGGCGGTCGGAACAGGTTTAACGGACGGTGAACCAGGCGGGATGAGAAGTTGCTGTGGGGTTGACGGTGGCGGTGGACCTTGGTGTACGTGAACGGAGCCCGGCGGAGCTGACTGCGGCTGCATCATGCTCGAATGATACTCTATAGAACCGTTTTGCATGTGTTGCTTACTGACCACATGCCTCGAATATAGCTGCGACATGCAATAATTAGCGAGGAACAATATCGGATTTTGCGAAGCCGCCAAGTGATTTGGTAATCTGCCGCCGTTACTCGTCCCTTGCGAGACTATCGGCTCGCCCGTGTGTATTCCAGCCAACGCTTGTTTCAACAATGCAAAATCAAAGACTACCCCCGAGTTGCCTATCAAGTCGTCGAGCTGACACTGCAGCATCATCTCTTGATATTTCGATTGTAATCTCTGTTTCTCAATTATCAGCTGCGAATGTAAACTGTACACGTCACCGGGACTGTCGATCATTTGCAGACTAGCTTTTGCTTTTCCAAGCGTTTCTCGTGCGTCGGTTATTTCGGGGAAATGACTCCAGCCGTTCTGAAGGTCGGTTTCGACGTGCGTTTTCAACGTTACGCAAGCTTCCAACACTTTTATTAAGAATTCTCGTTGCTGCATAGCCAGTCTTTGAATCTCGGTCGATAACTTTCCCATAGCAACCAACTCCAATTGAACCTGCGAAACAGGTGCCACCTTCCCAGTCACGATCGATAATAAACGACAATCATCGTCAATACTACTCATACACGATTTAAAGGATTACGTTGGTGAAAGTGTATCGGCGAATAAAATACTGTGATACTTACGTCGGATATGAGTTGTTCTTTGGCATCAGTTTGCGATTTAATCTGGTGACCCGGGTGTTCCTGTGGAGTCGCGCATGCTCTACAAAGGGCCGTACAGCACGTCGCGCACCATAACGCTAGAGGCATTCCATGCGTGTGACAATTTTCACTCTGTAAATATAGTGCCTGTAGTTAATTTACTACTGCATCTTCATTTTATTCACTACACGCTCCATATTTTCTACAAATATCTTTCGTAACGCGTCGTAAAAAGTCGCATTAAAAATTGATCTATAGATTTTGAAAGGAAACTATTACAGACCTTATGACATAATCCTATTACTATCGGAACCTATCTTGGTATGGCTTCGTAGCTGCATGCTTTCTTTACCATTTTCATATGAACTCGCAATGCGAATAAACCAGACGTCGAACTCGAAATCGTTTTGAAACTAAAATTTTTCGTTTGATCGTATACCTTTCTCTCCTTGTCGTTGCTTTTCCCGGATGTGTTGTTCGTCGTAATTTTTAAGTGAGACAGATTGTTCGCTAGCGCGAGGAGAGAAGAATGCGTCGGTAGAGCATCGGGCCCTTGATCACCCAGGTCCGTCCTTTTCCAACAGTGCGCACAGAACAACTCCCGTCCCTTTAATAAATTGTTTTCTATGCAACGCAGGCAGAAGTAATGTTTACAACTAAGGTATTTCGGGCATTGTTCGGCGTCATTATACTTCTGCTTGCAATAACTGCAAAGCGCCAGTTCCTCTAAATCCGTTAGTACACTCGGATCCAGCATCTGAAAAATAGCGAAAATATCGTTTCAACAATTGCTTTTACCCTTCATTAAATTTTCATTCTTCGAGAATTCCAAACTGAAGAAAAAATAGCGAACGAAAAATATTTTCACTAAATTTGTTGTTTGGTATATATGGATAGAGATACGTTTTCAAAGAACGCATATCGTTAAGTATTATCGCGTTATTTAGGCAAATAATAGAAAGGTCATACTTAATATACCTATTCGCAACAACACGTGGTGTACAACGTTTCTACAACGTTACATTGTTTTCTTTTTGCTTTTTTTCCTCTCTATACCTTGTTGACTCTTGGTGCGAATAACACGCATTTTTGTACAATAGAAATATGTTGATTTTAACACGGATCTCGTTTTATTGTGCAAACAAATCGCGCGTATGAATCGACCGATATATTTATTTAATTATCGGTACATACATATTTACCGACAAGAATTTAAATTACTCGATGACGCGATTTTCCACGTAAAAACACTTCAGATACAATTTTATCAAAGAAATGTGTATATCGACGCAAAAAGGGCCATCCCTTTCTACCGATTCACGCAAGCAAACAACACACAAGGCGGGAAAACAAGAAATTACTGAAATTTATGGAACTCTGTTTCTATGAATGTTTGTGTAACTTTTTCGTGTTGTAAAATCACTTTTATTACATGCAACACAATACGTTCTGATTATATCGCGATATTGTTTGCCCGTGCACCAACTCGATTATAGAGGTTAGCTTCTTTTATCGAATACATATCAGTACTATGGCACAGTATGCAATAATTCGATCAACATTGATGAAATACAAAAAATGACATTTCATGCGAGAGCGCGCATGCGTACGAAATCCCGCCAAAACCCCAGAGGGTCGAACAGTCGAAGTTTTGGGATTTACCATTTTCTCCGGGAGAAAGTAATCGATGGGAGAGGTGGCCGATAGTGGAGGTCGTGAGAAGTAGACACATTTCTTTACGAAACGTTTCAGAGACACCAATACGTTCGACCGATAAAATTACTCGGTTGTACGATATATAGATTCTTATAAGTTATCGTCAAGTCCTTGCGCGATATTACACTGTCACTGCTCGTGACAAAACCAAGTAAAGTTCTGGTCAAAAACGACTCGTAAACTGCAATGCACTGTTAGGCAAATTCCGCGGGAATATCGTGGCTGTTCTTGCTCCTACCATCTCGATGTTTTGCGAACGCACACGCTTGCCTTTTCTTTCTTTCCCCGTTCTCTCGCTCTCGTTTCTCAGACCTCTATTCTTCTTTCATTCTCCCTCTTTCTGCTGTTTCTCTACGTACACGACACTCATATATACTCTATATACACTACGTGTATACGCACACTCGTTTTCTGGCCGTCTCGCACACGCGCGCGCACTACACATATACACGATGTCATATAATTTTCCTTATCACGCATACAACCACGCATCTCGCGCTCACGCCCGCGCGCGCATACACAAATACACAAATACACAAATACACAGCACCTACACACATGCCCACACAAACAATCTCTTTCTCTCTCTTTCTTTCTCTCTTTCTCTTTTACTCTTTCTTTCATTTGGATCGTAGAACCGTAAATGCTTCTGTACCGTGTATACGATTCGTGATAGTCTCCTTGCCGCGCGATGGAGGCTGATCGTTGGCACTCCGTCACTCCCAACGTGTATCGTGACGACAATTACTTCGTAACGTTTGCTTGGATGTACGGTTCGATTTTAATTTACATCGGGATTGGCGTAGTGTTGTGTGCAGTTCCGTACGCAGGAATCGAGCACTTCGACGTTTTCAATGCCGCTGTCGCCGTGAAGCTTTTACCAAGCCTTTTGTACTTTTCACGTTACGTGTTTACGCTTATCAAACGTCGTGAGTTATTATGGATAACATAACGACGGCGCGCCGGTAACGCGGCGTTACTTCAGTCTTAGCTCGTGCGAACGTTTTGCCACATCATGATGTTTGGTTCACTAAACTAACCACTAGCATGGCGGCGACGACCGACCGACCGACACACACCACAGCGCGCGCTAGTCGCTTACGCTGTTGCTCTCCTCTCCTCGTCCCGTATCTTCCCCTTCCACACGATCTCGAACCTCTCTCTTTCTCTTTCCTTTCCTTTCCTTTCCTTTCCTTTCCTTTCCTATTTCCCCTCCCTCTTTTATTATACACTTTTAGTTCGGTTCGACTCGTGGCAAACGATGCCGGTGTCGTCTGCGGCTTCCATCACTGCGCGCGCATTTCTCCAACGATTCTGAACACGAACATTATGGACCTGCCTTTACAATTCTTCTTCTAAACCACATTACGCATTTCTCAACCGACCAATGAAATTATCCAACCGACACTTCACCTGGAACACGCGCCGTCGCCGTTTTAAAATATACTTATGGCATTATATTAAAAATAACATAATTCCTATTAACAATTATTTCCATCTAAATGAAAAGGTGTCAAAGGGCACCTTTTCGTCGAAATTCTTCAAATAAATTTATGATTAATAAGAAGAAATTTCACTGGATAAATTAAACGGTATTTAAAATAAGATGACAATTTTAGGATGCAAAAGTACTGTTTTGGATTTAATCTTTTTGTTGCTATTAGGAAAAAGACTCGTATGGAAATGAAGTGCCAAGGCTAGCAAGACCTTTGCCCGTAGAATATTTATTGGTAGACATACCTGCTTCTACACCACTTACTCCACAATTTACTTTTTATGTTAGCAATAATATTACTTCCTTTCCAATTGAAAATAGGTATGTAAACAAATATTGACAAAGTATTCTTTTATTATTTAGATCGTATAAATTACGTTAATACAAACTTTCATTTTAGACATGTCGATGGACAAGTTCAAGAATTTAGTTCGCTTTGTTCTTATATGCAGCAATTTCATGTAGATCAATTCTTAGAAGCAACTTCAGATTTTCATTTCTTACTTTTTATCGCAACAATGGAAATGTTACCGATGAAGGTATAGCACATTTATTTTTTAAATAGTTACTTATTTAAAAATGTGTATTTATCGATACGAAATATATTTTCCTTCTCCTTTAGGATCACATGATACCACTGTTAGAAGCAGTTCGTAATAAAGACAAGGAAGCAGCATTCAAATGGTCAGGGTCTGAACATTGGGGAACAGTACAACTTATATCTGCGACTACAGCCTCTACGGTACAGTCGCCACAGGCATCGTTCAATAGTAGCGTAAGAACGCCGTCTTCTTCAGCTGTAGGAGGTAGTGGAGTAGGAATTGGTACAGAACCGACTGTGAATCCACCTCCTGATCAAACGCTTTGGACTTGTTCTTATTGCACTTTTCTCAATGCAGCAGATTTTGCAATGTGCGAAATGTGTAGTTTGCCAAGGTATATGTAACAAACTGTCAATATTAAATTGCTTCTGTATGCATTTAAGGGTGTTATCCATAAGTTGCTACTTTGCTTCCACACGATTTTACGCATACTGTGTCCTTGCAGATGTAACGATCATTTTCCGCGCATCTTTGGCCTTATTTAGGAGTGAAAAAAACCAAAATAATATTTTTCACCAAAGTATATAATATATTCTCCAATTTTCCACTCTATTCCAATCTTTTAATATGCATTTATTCATAACTCGTGTGGAAATGCAAAATGTAACAGCTGGTACTTTTCATATTATCGTTATAATTTAAGCATATACGAATCACTTATAAATATATTGTAAATTATTATGTTTACAGAAATGATAACATTAATTTCTCATAGAAAAAAAAACTTGAAATTCAACTTTAAATGTTTGGAAAAGATTAATTATCATAGTTTCTAAGTTACCACCAAGTTTACATTAGTTTGTGAAGATAAATCAAAGCAAAGTAGTTTAAACGAATAATAACTAATGGGTTTGATGCAAAAAATTATACTGTAATTATAATTATACACAATTATAGAACATGATTGGCAGAAATTTAAAGCATAACATATACTATTTATTTAAAATAAACTGTATTGAATTTCCAGCAAGTTTAACAATATCATTACCGACAAATTCAATTTAATATACAATATTTCTAAGTTTACTTTAACAATGTAAAATCTTTACAACTAATTCTAGATACAATAGAATTAGTTAAATTAGAAACAGTTTCTTCGTCTTTGTCAATTTTATATGTTTTTTTTATCAACTCAAGATCTGAAAATTCAGCTAGTTTTGATATTGAAACGTTTACTCCTTTTACATTTTTCATAAGTATTTGCGACATTGATTCTTCTGTGTTTTTGTATATCTGTATTATCAATATATTTTTATCATTATCATTAATACCAAATTCCATTAATGAACGTGATATGTTTTTTGATATCGACAAATTAAATAAAATTTCAGTATATACGTTTTTTGTAATAAGCTGATTCATCTTTGCACTAATTGCTGCTTTATTGGCGGCTACTAATATATGAAAGGGATCCGTTATAAGTGCTGCTTTTATAACAGCGCAACAAAGTTTGCCATTCATAATTTTCTCACGTATTTCATTACAATTTTGCACATTTCTAAATAAATATAATGTGCAAAACAATTCAGTCTCAGGATCTAATGGTACTATATAATCATCCATCTTTTACCACGTAATTCGCAAATAAAAGTTATGAATTACTATCCTTTTATAATAATTACTATTTATAGTATTGGTAATTTCACATTTATTTTCATGTTGAGATGTTTTTCATTTATTGTTTCAAGAAATTTTAGAAAATCTTATAATTTTAAACCAACTACATAACCACTGAAATGACTTAAGTAAACATTAATTATGTATATCGTACGTACATAGTGCAGTGAATACGGTGGCGACCTCTTTTTAAATGAATTCCAACATCAGAGGGCTATAAGCTATAAGTGATACTTTACTAGGTTAATATGTATGCATTAGTTTTTTACATACGCTTAATTTTCTTTTTACGAAGATAATTTTCTTTACACGAATACGATTTAATACGGTTTCGAAAATCGATTTTTTTTACATACATTGGTGACATTGATAACACTGTTCAACAAATTAAATTCCTAGTAAGTAGAATTTCTCGTCCCAATCACGAACCATTAAGCAGAATTGTTTACTGATCGATAACCATCTGTTGTTTCCGAGAAACACGAATAATTGTGAAAAGCACGGTTTTGGATAAAAATGAAATATTACATAAAAACTAGAAATGCTAGGAAGTTTCAGTTTTCAAATCCTTTTTTGAGCTCATCCGAATCGGCCATTAAATATTCGCGTTTCACTAGAGAAATCATTACAAACGGTAACAATAAAAACAAAAATAATTTCTGAAACAGGGTATTAATAAAATAAAACATGCATACGATAAAATTGTTTGTTCAGTTAGAACAGAAAAGTCTTCTCTTTGTAAATGATCAAAATACACAATTTCTAGAATTTTTTCTTTATTCATTATAATTAATGATTTACAGATACTATAATTATAATTAAATCATCTGAAACATATTCAAGTAAATATTTTTAAATATTTCCAAAACACAAATTACATAAACTCATTACTATTCTTGACACAATACCGTTAAAGAATAATAAACTCTTTTTGCAACTCATCATTTTTTTAAAATAAACAAACAAAGACTGTTTCTGTATATCGGTAAGAACATTTTGTAATAATACATCCAACGCTTCTAAAAATGTACTAACATTTATGGGATATATGGATGAACCATAGATGTAAAGTAAAAACAAAGCTAAAAAATTGAATAATGTTATGCATGTCAACCATATAAATTTTCATAATATAAACTATATATATATATATATATATATGTATGATGCAATTTAATAGAAATTATTATTTAATAGCACACACGAAACAAAGAATCGATTAAAAAAGCATTTGTGATTTTATTGCTGAAGCAACACATGCATCATTGCTGATAATTAAAGAAAATCAATTTCTTATTAGTATAGAAAAAAGTAATCCCCCTTTTTTAACATTTTTACCGCGTATCAGTGACTTGTGATTTTTCGAATGAACGTAACAAGCAAATCCTCGATCTTTGTTTTACAAATCTGTAATATTATTACTGCGAACACAAGCGGGATGATTTTGTACTTGAAATGAAACATCGGAAATCGAAATACACCATCCGCGGTCATCATACGCAGTAAAAGTGTTAAATACCTTTTATGAAACGAAAATTATTGCACGTATACGTATACCTATTTGACCGACTGTCAAATGTAATATATATTCATGTTTCAAAAAGTATGATTTATATTACGTTGGGAAAAGTAGTATTATAATTCTACCTTTTTCCTATAATCTCGTGTATTGGCTGGAATTTTTAATGTTAATATAATTAACTGATTATGCAGTTATCTGGCTTTGAGAATTTTATGGAATGTGTAGTTCCCGTTGATCCAGTACCAGTGGATGTAAGGGATCCTCGACGTGGTACAATTGTGGGCATAGTAGCAGTAGTGTCCAAAAATTCATCGTTATCTGAATCAGTATCTTTGTCTTTATTATCTCCGAATTGCTTTCTAGGCATTATTTCATGTATATACTTTTCAATCATTTGTCGATTTTTAACCGAAATAGTAGCGTTACCATTACCTGTCGCATATGGTAAACTATCATTAATTTCTTGTTGTTCTTTGGAAACCCTTTCCATGTACATACGATGTAATTCAGCTAGCGCTTCATCCATAAAACGAACACTTTGTTGTTTACCACCCGGTAAAACATGATTGTTATAATCAAGTGGTTTACAAACTTCGCTATTCGAATCTTTCTGTTTCGGGTTTTCAGTGTCTAACATTGTAGTTGTGAAACCTATAGGGAATTTATTATTTTTATTTACTGTATTACACGATGGTGGTCCATACACTGTTTTCTGTTCATTTGCTGTAACTCCATATCTATTTAACATCCAATCTCGAACATAACTTTTGTCATCTTTAATTTGATTTTCTCTTGACATAGTATTAGGCTGTGCGGTTGGAAATTCTTCATTATAACCAACCGCGCGAACGTTCTCGTCCGTTCGTACATTTCCTTGAATCGTGCGCACCGAATTTTTTTGTTCATTTTGTGCTGCAAGATCTTTCCACCTTCCGGTATTCATTACAAGCTGAGCCAATTGTTGAATTGTTTGTTTTGGGACTGCTACAGATGTTTCTTGTCTGTTATTAGAAACGGTTCCTAATTTTGCTGGTGTAGAAGTATTACAAGGTTCACCGGGTACTACATCTGTAGGTTGAATAGTTAGTTTTCGTAAATGTTCATAACTTTCTCCTTGGCCAGCTAACAAGTCATCTTCAATAGTTTTTAAATTACCTTCGTTTATATTAAGCATGTCGTAATTATTCATAATTTGTTCCGAAGTGCGACGTTCATTTTCCAAAAATGCTGCAGTCAATACTACAGCAGCAGTAGGTTCTCTTTGTATAAATAATTGTCTACGCGCATGTAAGGTCTGACCTATCGTCGCTTCAAGACGAGCATTTTCTATTGTCTCCTCTAATCGTTTTTCCATTTCTAAGAATTTCGTAGTTTCAAATTTTACAGCTTGTATATTCATAGCAATGTTTTCCATTTCTCTAGCTATACGTCTTTCTGCGGAGGACTGAGTGCGAGTGTTTGTAGTTGACGCAGATTGGTAGCCTAATCGTTGTTGAGCTTTGACAAAAGGAGATTGCGATACTGGTCCTAATTTTGACCATATAGTACCAGGCTTTTTTACTGGACTAGTTATTGGTGAAACAACACCTGGTCTTGTTGCTATAGGGTTTTGATTGATTAATTCAATATTAGAATTTGGCACTGTACAAGGAACTCTGCATGGTTTTGGAGGAACCAAGTCCAACTTTGGAGGAGGTGCTCCAGGCCTTGGAGGAGGCACTAATGATGTTATTATAGGTTCTATCTGCGGTGGAGGTATTTCGACATCTGTTTCAGAATTTTGTTTTCTATGTACAGAAGTATGAACGACTTTCAGTAAATCATCTACTCGACATTCAAATCTATTTTGACGATCTCTATCTATATCTAAGAACTTTGTTAGTATATCATTTTGTGCTGCAAGGATCTAACATAATATGGATTAATATATGCATTAATTACATAAAAAAGATTAAAAGTAAACAATAATTTATATCTTACCTTATTAACAGCTTCGTTTTGAGAATTAATTGCACTCAGAAAGAGCTGCTCTAATTTTTGTGCTTTCTTTTTTCTGACTGGTACATGTGGAATATTTTCTGTATTAACTTCAGCATCCTTCGATTTGTTATCACTTTCCGATGGAGTCGATGAATTCAGTAAAAACTCCAATAAAAGGCTATCATCGTTACATGTTGCATTATTTGTTATTACAGAAATATCAGGATTTGGTACTTGTGTAGATTGATTATAGCTTTCATTTAAATTGTGTACTTTTTCATCGTTTTTTGACTCGCAAAAACCGTCATTTATATTATGTGTTTTTTCATCGTTCTTTGATTGGCAAAAAGCATCATTTAAATGTTGAGATGCATCTGGTAAATAATCTGGAGATAAACATCCACCATTTTTTGTATCCATTACAGCAGGCATATGAGTTAATATATTACCATATTGTTGTTTATATGCAGCTCTTAAATCTCGGCTAAGTGCAAGTTTTTGTGGTTCTTGAGGCATCGCACGATTATTTGCACGCGTTGTATGTTGTAAATTATTTCGTTGCTGCATTACATGTTTTAAATTACAACTTTGTACTGTCATTGGATTAACTGGTATATTTGCAAATTGAGTTGTTAAATTTTGATTCAAGTTATGTAGATTTTGTTGAAAAGCTAGATTATTTACTAACATATTTTGTTCATTGCATATACCAGTTTGTTGTAAATTTTGATGTTGCTGCATATTTTCTTGAATTATATGATTTTGTACATTTTGCACTGTATTTTGAAAGGGTATTTCAACATAAGGATAACCAGGCAATAAATTTGAATCGTAACTTGGACGCAATATTTCTTCTGGAAAAGAATCGCATTGCGTGGACCTGCCAGCCATTTGACCTAATTGGTCGTCGGTATTAATAGCTACATCTCTTGTTGGAGAAAAGACTCTATAAGGCCGAGCTATTACAGTTTCGTTTGACTCGGGAGAATCGGGATATTCATTTTCACCTACAAAATAATACGTACGACAATTACTACGCAAACATTATAGTAATCAACCTTTAAAATGACACCCAGAAGATTTTTTGTAAATATTTTTATGAGAACCTCGAGTAACTATAAGAATTTATGAGTGAATATGTAATATGGTTGTTGTCAAACATTATGGAATATTCTTACGTCCTAATGTCCATATAGGAGACAATGCTTCTGTATGATGGAGCGACTGCGGAGGCTCTTGAAATCTGTATCTCATTTGTAAGTTTTTATTTGTTTTAATATCTTTTGGTGGAGATTTAACATTCATCATTGCATCTGAGGGAATAACAAACAGCATAAACTGATTTCTTTGATATTTGGAAAGTATACTTGTAATATATTATTAAAATTTGAAACCTTAAATTATTAAATTTGCAAATAAAACAAATTCATCAAGCGTATGTTAATTTTCAACGGCCTTACCTACAGTGTCTACGCCGTCTAAGTTATTTCCTTCCAAACGCTTGTTTTTAAGAACTCGATCTATTGATTCATAATATTGTTCTACACCCGCTCGAGTACCAGCTCTTTTAGCTTCACGGTAACATACCAAAACCTGTTTCATTCGAGATCGGCATTGTTTAGCAGAAACATTATATCCCTTTTTCTTCATATAACGTGCAACGCTTTCCCAAATCAATTGCGGTTTTGAAGTATATTCAAATTGTTTCTGTACTTGTCTATCCGACCAAACTGATACAAGTAATGCGGTGCTCTCGGGGATCCACTTATATTTAACGCAATCTCCAGAATCACTCATCTTTCAATAATTAACTTTTATGACTAATTAAATGATTAAAAGTTAACATAAGAATTGGAGTATAATATACAAAAAGAAAGCATCTATGTCCATCACGTAATAATGTTAACTTTATCAATATACAACGCATACACTCGGATTAACCGACACTACTAACCGACACAGTTCAAATTTCATTGTGCAACAGGTGGTGGGGGTGGAGAATATGTCAGTCTCAGTCTCAGTAATACATCCTGCACTGAAGGTGCTGCTGCAGTCGCTGCAGCGCCATTGCATTGCTTGACATGTTACTGTTCTGTTATGATATTTAGTACCAAGACCTAGTAACTTTATTCTATTTTGACCTCAGTGTAAAATAGAACAAAATAGGACAATTATTTAAAAAAAAAAAAAAAGGACAAAACTAAACTAAGTTTTAAAGAATTAAATGAATTCAAAGGACAGTTACTTGAAAGAAAAGGACGAATGGTCACCGTATGTATAGGCCAGCCATGTCCACTCACGATCAATAAACTCCATTGGACAAATTTCGGATATCTACAAAGTTTGTAATGGCAAAAATATTGTCTATAGTTATAATTTCGAGAATATTTTTAATGCCATATATCTATTCTAGCAATTTACTAAATTATTGTGTTCCAACCAGTGGTTGGAACGGTTTCGAAAACAACTGTTTCGAACTACTTTTCAGTTATTTGCGGCCATCTGACACGTTATAAAATATACGTATTTCTTTGGATGTTTATAAGTATTACAATAATATCGGTAGCATTGAAAGTATCGTCCTTCCACGAATGACGAAGGCACAGCGTGTTTACATCCCTACTCCTGTTGCAGTCCGCTGACTGACCGGTATTGGTCGAAAATTGTGACGAAGAATATGGAAGGACGATAGTGCGACACTCACAATTTGTACGAACGAAAGCCTTATGAGTTTTTAAATGGATAAACGTCATATAAAAATTATAAAATCAGCTTAATGTACATGAAGTGACAGGAATACTTTTAATAATTGTGTGTAAATAATATCATTAAAAATATGTCATCGACATATTTATCAACTGGCCGTTTAAACGTGGGGATTATACAAGAACAAGTTCGAAAAGAATTACTTTGCTTACTCGAAAAATGTGATGGTACAAAGGTATTACAATGACTGTTTCAATTTTATTTATTAATTTAACATAAATTATTCTTCTTTGACAAGTGAGTTTTAATAGGCAATTATATGGGACGAATCTCTTGCTGGACCGATTGATCTTGTTGCAAAATACAGTTTGCTAGAGGAACACGATGTGGTTAAAGCGTATCCATTACGTAGTGGAAGTTTAAATATACCATCAAATATTATGAACATAATATTTATTACTAGAGCTGAATTAGATCTCATGGATTTAATCGCTGAAAATGTTCACAAGTATGGATAAAGTAAAAAAGAGTACAGTTTTAATAACGAATTCCTTTGCAATAGTATATAAAAATCTTATATAGTATATTAATTTGCAGTGAGAATGAAAAAAGGCCACGCAAAGAATTTCATTTATTTTTTGTACCTCGAAAAAGTCTTGTTTGCCAAAAGGAACTCCAAAATCGAGGAGTTTTTGGTAGTTTTACGTTAATAGAAGAATTTAAATGTGACTTATTTCCTTTTGATAATGATCTTCTTTCTATGGAACTTAGTGGATCGTTTAAGGAATTTCATTTAGAAAATGATCCAACCAGCTTGTATCAAGTTGCACAAGCCATTCATGGTTTGCAAAAGTTATATGGGAAAATCCCAAAAGTTACAGGGAGAGGATGTGCTGCTAATCAAGTTTGGGAGTTATTGAAAAGATTAAGTCGAGAAGAAGAAGAAATTAAAACAACGTCTACACAATCAACTACTATAGAATATTTATTATTATTGGATCGGTCTATAGATTTACTTTCACCTCTAGTTACACAGTTAACGTACGAAGGACTAATAGATGAAATTTTTGGGATAGACTGCAGTAGAGTATCTTTAATCTCATAATTGATAGAAATTTCATTGCTATTATATTAAAACAGGTGACTTTATTTGTTATAATTTCAGATATCGTCAAGTTGCCAGCAAAAAGATTTTGTGATTCAGAAGATTCTCCAACAACGATATCTCTTAATGAAAAAGAACAAATCATACTTAATTCCGGAGAAGAATTGTTTGCCGAAATTAGGTGAATATTTGTACAGTTTAATATATCTTCGTATCTTATAAATCTGTTTAATTTTCAGGGACAAAAATTTTAATGGCGTAGGCCCTGTCCTTAGTAAAAAAGCCAAAGTTATTTCGTCGCAGTTTGATGAAAAACATAGAGATAAAAGCGTACAAGAAATCAAACAATTTGTAGCACGCTTACCACATATGTTGGCCACCAAGCAGTCATTAGCAACACGTAAATTCTTTTGATTCTATTTAATAATATTAAATGTGTCTTTAATTATACGTTTAATTTATTGATAATGTATTCTATAATTTATTTTCAGATACAACAATAGCAGAAATGATAAAAGAAGTAACAGATTCAAGTAATTTCCTAGAATCGTTGCAAGTTGAACAAGAATTATTGAATTGCATCGATACGGATAAGCCGAATGCTTATATAGAAGATATGATAGCACAACAACAACCACTTATTAAAGTTTTACGGCTTCTTTGTATACAGTCCTTAACAAACTCTGGACTGAAACCAAAATTACTAGACTATTATAAAAGAGAAATAATTCAAACTTATGGGTATCAACATTTACCAACGATATTAAATTTAGAAAAAGCTGGATTATTAAAGCAACAACAATCCGCTCGTCAGTATGCAGTTTTACGAAAAGCATTAAGACTAACGGTCGAGGACGAAAGTGAAATTGCACCAAAAGATATTAGTTACGTTCATTCTATATATGCACCACTAACTGTTCGATTAGCAGAACAACTTGTACAACCGACTGGTTGGCAAGGCTTAAACGATGTAATGGGTTTGCTACCAGGTTCTACTATCGACAGTGCTCCATCTAACATTTTGTCATCTGGAAGAAGTAAACAATATATAAAAACTATTTTTCAAGTTGTAAGTAGCATAATTAATAGATACACTAATTTTTAGGAAATTCTGTTACCAGCGAAGATTATAATTCTGAACCACCAAAGCTGGTAATGGTTTTCTTCATCGGAGGGTGTACATTCGCAGAAATTTCTGCTCTCAGATTTTTATCTCAACAAGATGATCGTATGTAATATATATTACTAAAAGGTCAAAATCAATTTCCAGTTTCCATTTATATTATATTTCATAGAAAATGTATTTTTTCAGTAAACGTAGAATTTGTTGTTGGCACTACAAAGCTAATCAATGGAAACACGTTTTTAACGTCATTAATGGAAAATTTAGAAAGTACATAATTTATTATAGGTAAATATATTGATATTAAATATTGTTATTAGAGTTTATATTTATATGTTTATAATTGTGTATACATATCTTAAAGAACTGACAAGTGCATTTATACCTATGTATGAACTTTTATCTTTTAGAAATACACATTTTATGACTCTTTGATCATATTTTAATTATTGATAAAAAAGAAATTTTTTTTTATTAGTCCCATGTATGAGCGCACATATGTATATTATTAATACGATAATACTTTAAGATTGAAAATTAATAAATTAAAATGAGATTCCACTCTTTACCAGTATTGTGCACGAGGTCACGTACTTACGCGTATCTGGCATGTGTGAGTGTGCACCCGACGGTGCTGAATCTGGCATCACTGGTACATACATACTAGGCGTACGCGTGAACATTACTGCAATAAATTAGCAAATTTCATGTATTATTATTTTACTTTTGAATAATGTACAGTCGTTTCTTAAATTAAAGCTAAACTTTAGACTCGATAAAGAAGGGAAGATTTCGAATTTAGCCGACATTAAAGTTGGTAATTAATAAAATTTCATCAAAATTGAGTTAAATCGAGTTAAAATGCAACTGGTAAAGACGTAACTCGTAGTTACCGGTGGTGATGTTTATTAGTTTAGAAGTTGATCGACACAGAGCGCCACTTGTCATCGACGGAGAACTCGCCTGTCGTAGAGTACACCCAGGCCAGGCGAAAAGGCGTCAAAAAGTTTGCGAATTTTCGTGTGTCTGGGCTGACGGTGGGTGCCGTATTGTTGCGTTGCCGCGGATTGTCGCGTCTCGCGCGTGTGTGCGTACGTGCGTGACACGTACGAGGCGTGTACTTTTCCGGGGTGCGGTGCGTTTGCACGACGAAAAATTGTGATCCTCGGATCTTAATATGCTTGAAGGATCGGCCAAGTTCAGGAAAAAGAGGTGCTGCGCCTGAAGAGAGTGCTCGGAGCTGCGCGCATGCTTCCGTACCTGCTCCCTCGCCATTTTGGAGGTGAATATCATTTTTTTTCGTTGCTGCCGGAGCTCTGGGATAAATTTCAGTTGATACACCGGGATCCGAACGCGATGTTGTACGCTCGATCCAAACACGGCAACCGCTTTCGGCTACGGCGACAATGTTCCTCTACTGTATTTGCGGGACCAATCTGACGCGATTGCTTCGAGTCAGAGACCCAACCCTCCTTACGCCCGCATTTCTACCTCCTGCGAATTTCACTCGACCGCCTTCTTTGCTTACCAACCCCGATTCTACGATTATTTCTCTTTCTCTCGCGAAAATACTTGTCGTTCAATATAGTCTGATAGTAGTACTGATAAGGTTCGTTTAAATGTTCCCTGTGTATGTTCCTTTTAAAAACATACGATATTTATTCGAGTCAGATGAGTTTCTCGACGGATAGAAAGAATGGTGTGATTTGTATCCAGGACCGCGTGAATAAGTGTCAAGCTCGTTTTAATTCTACAAAGGAACATTCTACACAGACATGAGTTTAATTTCACTTTAATTTAGTTTTACGTTATAGAAATTAGTGTAAATGATATATGCCAAACATTGTGTATCGTCGATGTATTTTTTAATCAAAAAAATAACTTGTTACTCTTAACTTATAAAAAAGTGAATCTGGGAAAATATGAGATCAAGATATGCAACATGTATTGTATCGTTTCATTCTCTTAATATTTTTTTTTCTATATGCATTTATTCTGGCGAAATCAACATACTTTTTAACACGCTAACTTTTACGCGTTGCTAATTATTTCAAATTTCTTTCTGTTAATCAAAAATTTATTATTTCCAATTAAAATGGCTGTACAAATAGTGCCTGTATCTTGTACAATTTTTTTTCTCTAAAGAAAAGTTTAACCGAATTGCAATTAATATTATACGAGACATATTCGGTTATTAATAATTAATATTAACATTTGTAACTTATATCTTTTCACAGATAGAATGTTAAATTTTGGAATGGACTGACAAAGGATTAAGTAAAATTATAAAATTTAGGGTAGAAGATTGAAAGGCAAGAAGACGTCTAACGGTGTCTGAAATAGGCCTCGGCCGTTTAGTTATTAACACCTTTACTATGCCAGCTGTTCCAAGGCCTGGTAGCCTTAAGGACCCAGAGATTGCCGAATTATTTGAGAAACATGATCCGGAGAAAATATTTGAGGACTTGCGCGAAATCGGGCATGGCAGTTTTGGGGCTGTTTACTATGCACGATGTTTGGTTACCAAAGAAATTGTTGCTATCAAGAAAATGTCATATTTGGGAAAACAAACTGTCGAAAAGTGGCAAGATATCCTGAAGGAAATTCGATTTCTTAGGCAACTAAATCACCCCAATACAATAGAGTATAAGGGTTGTTATCTCAGGGACCACACTGCTTGGGTATTTACATTTCAAAGTTATTAAATATCAAACTATCCGCATAGTGTTATCGCATTATTTGTAACATTAACTTATTATTAGTACGTATACATATAATCTTATTGACTTATCACAGTTGGTAATGGAATATTGCCTTGGATCTGCATCCGATATTATCGAAGTTCATAAAAGACCCTTGAAAGAAGACGAGATAGCTGCAATTTGTGAAGGTGTGTTACGTGGTTTGCATTATCTTCATTCTCTTGGAAGAATTCATCGAGATGTGAAGGCAGGAAATATTTTACTCACCGAAAATGGAACGGTGAAATTGGCAGATTTTGGGTCAGCCAGTATAAAGTGTCCAGCAAATAGCTTTGTAGGAACTCCTTACTGGATGGCACCAGAAGTGATATTAGCTATGGACGAAGGCCAGTATGATGGAAAAGTAGATGTATGGTCTTTGGGAATAACATGTATCGAATTAGGTACCATGGTTTTCTACTCTTTTCTCTAATATCTATAAATGCATGAAAAAAAAGGTATATTAAATATTAATTCTTTTAGAGGTGTAATGAATTATAACTATTGCAATTTCAGCTGAGCGGAAACCACCGTATTTTAACATGAATGCTATGAGTGCTTTGTATCATATTGCTCAGAATGATACACCGACTTTGAATTCTCCGGATTGGTCAGATGTTTTTCGTCACTTCGTCGAAGTGTGTCTTACTAAAAGTCCAACTGAAAGGCCAGCCTCTGGTAGACTGTTATCAGTGAGTCTTTTATACAGATCTCTATTACATTTCCGATATGTAACTTTACCGTTGCTTTTATGTTTGATTTTCATATAAAAATATTTGTCTAGTTAGTTGTCTAGTTAGTTGTCGTCTTATAGGCTTTCAATTTTACAGCACCAATTTGTCACCAGAACACGTTCTCCTCAAGTTCTAATAGATTTAATTCAGAGAACCAAAGCTGCTGTGAGAGAGTTGGATAATTTGAATTATCGGAAAATGAAAAAGATCTTGATGATTGATGCTTGCGAGACTGAAAGTACGGTTGGCGATGCTGACGGTATGTTATATATTAAACTTCAGAAAAGTTAGTTTTTTACTTGAAATTACAATATTTGTTTCTAATTATGTATTTGTCGATTGATATTCTTATTTATATTTTACAGATACTCCTGATGAACAAACAGGTGGTGACAGCAGTAAGAGTAATTCAATTACCTCTGAGCATTCGATCCACTCGATGGGTGTTTCCGCAAGTTCTCAAAGTTCGTCCACCAATAGCCTGCCACGGCCAAATGCCGATGCAAATGATTATTCCACTGGATCTGTACGAAATCGGCATAAAATATCATCAGGAGGTGGTGTTACTGCCAATCTTCTTGAACATGGTGCCAATAACTTTGCAACGATTAGGACGACATCAATTGTGACTAAACAACAAAAAGAACATATGCAGGAAGAAATGCACGAACAAATGAGTGGATATAAAAGAATGAGACGGGAACACCAAGGTGCTTTGGTAAGTTTCTAATTATTATTACTATTTTCTGTTTTTTTTTTATCGATGTATTAAAAAATTGTGTGCAGGAGGGATGAGAAAATGTAAATCGATTACATTTCTAACAATATGATTACATATAATCGCACTGCAATCACGCAGTAATTAGACAATAATTAAACAGTTATTAGACGCTTTAAAGATTCATGATTATGTTCGTACCGTAATTAGACAGCAATTATTCCTGGATTATAGTGCGATTACAGTTTGATTACGTGTAATCTTATCGTGACAAATGTAATTCGATTACATTTTCCTCAATTCTGTTGTACAATCTCTATAATAATTAATTACATAATTTATATTATAAATTATTTAAACAGGTAAAATTGGAAGAACGTTGTAAAATGGAAATGGAATCCCATAAACAATTACTAGACAAAGAATATGAAACTCTTTTGCAACAATTTAGTAAAGAATTGGAGAAACTTCAATTGAGGCATTTGCAAGAATTAGAACGTAAACTTAAACAAAACCAAAATGCAGAGAAGAAGCTTCACAAAGAAATTACAAGTAGACAAGAGGCTGATCGGAAAGGACTAGAAGCACGGCACAAGAGAGACTACAAAGTAAGAATACATACTAAGCTGATAATCGAAGCTTGTTATCCGAGTAAATTAAAAATATTTATTTTAAAATGTTCGTAATAATTTTGAATAATTTAATCGATGCTTTATTTTGTCCAGGCTTATAAAGAGAGATGGAAAAAAGAATTATCTCAAGATGAAGTTACACCAAAACGTCAACGAGATGCTACGCTTCAAAGTCAGAAAGATAATTTACGACAGATGGAAGCTCAAGAAGAACAACGGCTTGCAAGAGGGCAAAGAGAATATCTTGATCTTGAAATTCGTAAATTCCGTAGAAAAAAGTTGCTCATCTTCCATAGTTTGGAACAAGAATTGCTACGGGAAGTTAGTATATTATTAGTTTTATTTTTTAATGCATTCTACAGTAATATAAACAGATATTTAAAGAATTATTTACTCGTGTTCAAGAAAGGTTTATTGTTCTTATAATGTGCTTCTACATATAGGAATTAAATAAGAGGCAACAGCAATTGGAACAAGCACATAATATGTTGTTACGTCATCATGAAAAAACGCAAGAATTAGAGTATAGACAGCAAAGGGCTGTTCATGCCCTTCGAGAAGATCAAGTTCATCGGCAACATGCGACTGAACTTTCGAATCAACAAGAT